TCAAATTAAACAATAAAAAAAATAAAAAATTAAATATTCCCCAAAAAAAAAAGGTTTGGATATAACTCCTTAAAAATGAGGACTGAATTGATTATAATTAAATTGAGTTACAAATGTATTTATACTTTTTGTATAGTGTTTTTTAATTTATGATTATTTGAATAGTGTAGATTTTTCATAAATTATGGTGATAAAATAAATTCAATAATATTAAATGAATTCCTTTATTTTATATAAAACATATGGATTACAAAGAAGAAATTTAAAACAGAGTGCCATTTATTTTTTTATTATATTTAAATAGGAAAATAATATAGTAAAAGAAGTGGTTTTTTATAAAATTAATTTTTTTTTTTTTTTTAAATTTAATTTTGTTTTTTTTTTAAATCCCTAATACAATACTTTAATTTAATTTTACTAACAACAATAAATATTTTTATATAATCATAAATGATATGTGGGTTAGAATTAAAAATAAAAAACAAATACATATATATATAAATTAAATTTAGATTTTAAGTATTACCTTTAAATAATTATTTTTATAATAGTTTTTGAATGTATAGTGAGGAAGAAGTAAATGAAAAAAGAAAAATATTCCTTTTATGGTTTTTAAAATAGAATACATATAAAAACAAATAATTGAAAAATATACAAAAATTTAAATATTAAAATTTATTTTTTTATTTTTTAATATAGACTCTTCTTATAATTTAATAATAGATGATTTTATGAACTATATTTTCAAATTCTATATTGGTTAAACTTTTCTAAAGTTAAAATTAAAGGGTATAAATTTTGATAAGAAATTTTGTAGTAAATGCTAACCACGAGTTTTTGCCTTATCCCTTCAATAAGAAGAGTTCAAAGGTTAACAAGACTTTTATTAATTTGTTTTTTTTTTTTGTTGTTCTTTTTTGTTAGCTTGTATGGCTATTTCACTAGTCTTTTTCGTTGTAGGGTGAGATGATTACCTGGTGGTTTTAATGTTGCTAATCTGGTTATTGGTTTCTCCAATGGCTTCTTATTGACTTCATTAAACTTACCAATAATAGCTTTTGCTGGGGATATCTATATTTAAAACAAAAATTAGTGATGAATTCGAAACTGTGATGGAACCCCTATCTGAAAGACGGTTACAGTTAGAGCTCCACTGGGAGTTACAGGAATATTGCTAAGTTTAATAAAGAAATATAGTTTTAATAGAAATATAATTTAGAAACCTTTAATTAAGTATTTTAGTTATTATATTATTAATTGTTATTGTTATTAGAGATTAATATTTTATATATGAGTCGTTAATAAAGAATTATTACTGAAGTGTTTATACTATCATAAACAAGTTGACATGAATATATATATGTTAAACATGTGACAATTTTAACCATATATATTATAAATGGAAAATTTTTACTATTTTAAGAGATATTATTATAAAACTTCTTATTACTATTTAAGAATTATTATTTGAAAACTTTCATTATTTTTATGAGGTATCATTACAAAACATGTAATAAAGTGCACTATGCACAACTAAGGCGTGAGGTGACCAACTTAGCAAAAGGGAAATTTCTTAATTTATATTATTAATTTGAAATCCTACTTTATAAGTTCAAAGCTTATGGGGGTTATATATTGAAAATTGTAATGAAAAGGTATATGATTATGACTAAGTTACACAACTAAAATACTTAACGAAAATATAATAAACTCTAAAATAAACACTTATGGAGACGCAATAAAATATATTAACACAAACTAAATAATAAACACTAAAACACTTAAATTACTTAAAAACACTTATTACAATTATGAGAACACTGAAATATACTTTATTTATTATTTATCTTTATTACTTGTTTAAACATATATATATAACTAACTAAAATCAACTAACTAAGAAACTCTAAAGTTTTAGACTGAGGACTTGATGTATTTATACTGAATGATATTAGTTCTAGAAGCTAATTCTTAAGTAGTTGAAATACTGGCATTGGTAGTTATTATTAAAAAGCAGTTACAAAATACTGGAATTGGCAGTTATTAAAAAGCAGTTATAAAATACATTTTTACTTAAAAATATAGACTATCAATTCATTACAAAATAATTATAACATGTTCGGATGGTGTAGTTGGTTATCACGAATCCTTAACACGGATTAGGTCGTGGGTTCGATTCCCGCTCTGAATATTTTTTATGAGTTTTTCAAAATGAAATCCCCTAGAAGATTTTTTTTTTTTTGTGCAAGGATAGTAAAATAACTGCCCCGCTGGCCAACCCTAGGGGGTTTAGTTTACACCTTGGATCTTTATAGAAAACCGACAAGTGTTAACATCATATAAATTCTTACTTTTTATAAATTAAGTTTTATCAAATAATTTTAGCACTGTCCAACAGCTTTTTAAAAGCTATTTCAATGTATATTAATTATACACCACAAAACACAGATCAAAAGAATTTAGATCGTATTAAAGATTTTTAATCTTCTATCTTCACTATCTCCAATCTTCACCAATTTGTCTTTCTAAAAGCCAATCCAACTACAAACATCATTCCTACCACCATCTTCAAACATAAAACCAATCATATTAGATTTATCCAACGATTGGAAAGAAATGAAAAATAAGGATTTTCCCCATAATAATTTCAATACTGTTGAAGACATACTCTTGTCAAGCATCTCTATAATTCAAAAAAGTGTTAAAGATATCATTGAACGAGATAACAAACTATCCACTTATGAAAAAAATGGAAACAACATCAATCTCAGATTATATTACCCAAACCACCAAATATCCGATGAACATATAATTCATTTCAGCAAATACACAGATATAGAAAAGATCTCATTCGACAAAAAGAAAAAGAAAACTATCTTTATCTCTCTCTCAAAAGAAAACCTACATAATCTCCTTAATGAAAGAGATACCACCAACAAGATGAACAAGTTCATCACGCACTGTAACGATTACCATATGGTAATTGGAAACATCAACTCATCCAATCAAGACATTGAAAAAGTGTTAAAAGAACAACTTAACCTAAAAATTGACTTCTTCTTTTCTCACATCAAAGTCAACAAAAACAATACCTCCTTTTTCCACCTCATCGAAAGAAAAAACAACTCAATCAAATCAAAGCTACTCCAATCACCATACTATCGTATTAAGATTAAGTCTGCAACAAAATCAAAAAATCATCCTAACAACAAAATCAATCAACTAATCAATGAAGATATACTAGGGGTCTCCACTGATAAAGAAATTGATAACAACATTACCATAATCAATCAATTAATCAAAAAAGATAGGGTCGACTTTAATGATCAAGACGATGATTACAAAGAAACTATTTCTGACAACGAATCTAACAATTCAACTAACGCACTAGATAACGAGGAAATATCTAATGACGAAACAAACAAACAAACAAAAAACCAATCACCACAAGATGACAATAAATCATCAACCAGCAAACCCTCAAGAACATCCAGGGTTAACGCACTAAACAACATCTTTACAAGATTAGCTTCACCAACTTCCAAAAATAAAACCGCCATAACAAATATGAATACCACCGCAAAAAGTAACCGTACTCGAAATGTTAGCCAAATATCCACACCAATCAAAAACACTCCATACCAATCAGGCAGTCCGAAATCACCTGCTATTGAACAAAAATCTAAGAAAAAAAAAACTTCTTAAACTAGATAGGTTGTTTCAACCTTACCCCAACACACCTTACCCCAACACCTGCTTCTTCTTATATTTTAATATAAATAAACACCGTCGCTTACACTAATAATATTTATTATATTATTAAGTAAGCTTTTTTAAAAAAAAAAAAAAAAAACACCTTGGCTTTTTAGGAGCTGGTGAACAGTTGATTACGTTAATGGTAGAACTAGATAGGTTGTTTCAACCTTACCCCAACACACCTTACCTCAACACCTGCTTCTTCTCATATTTTAATATAAATAAACACCGTCGCTTACACTAATAATATTTATTATATTATTAAGTAAGCTTTTTTAAAAAAAAAAAAAAAAAAAAAAAATAATGGTAGAGAGGATTTTATGATATGGGTAAGATGTGTGTCTAATCTCGAGGTTTTGGCTTGATGGGTTTATTAGTCTTTTGTTTATGTAGTGTAGTGAACAAGAATCATTACTCAATAATAATAAATATTAATTAATAATAATCAACAATTATTTTAATTCATCAAAAAAGAATTTTTAAAAAAAAATAAATTTTTAAAAAAAATAAAAAAATAAAAATAATAAAAACTTTTTAGTTTTCAAATTTTACAAAAACATAAACATTTCATATAAATTTTATTTTATTTAATTATTTGATCTTAGTACCTTACAGTAGATTCTATCTAGTCGCTTATCACCTGAACCATTTCTGTGAGAGAAAGTGTTTCTGGTTAGTTTGTAATCTACATCGTTCAGATTGTTGAGGTTAACCAGAGACTCTATTGATAAGCTTAGGCTTTCTTCCTTCAGATTTTTATCGGGATGGTTTAGTACCTCTTTGTAATCAGCGCAATTGAAGTCACCAATGATGATTTGCAGTGGTATCGAATTGTTAATTCAAAATTTTAAAAAAAAAATACTAATTATAATCAAAAGAAAAAATCAAAAAATAAAATGTTTAAAAAAAATTAAAAGAAGTGCAAAAAAGAGAAAAATTATGATGTTTGTGTTTGTGCTGTTTTTTTACATCAACTTGTAAATTTTAAAAAAGGATAAAAATGAATAATTTTTTCCAAAAAATTTTTAAATGAATACGCTAACGATAATTGGTGAAAACTGAGAATAATTTTAAACTCTAATTTTTTTTTACTTTGTTTATTATTTTAATCACAACTATTTACTTAATTCTTTAAAATTAAAACCAAACAGTAACATAGCTTTATTAACTTTTTTTTTTTTGGAATCGCGCGTCTAAGTAAAACAAACAAAAATCTTCGATTAAAAATATTGAGCTGTATAAGTTTAATAGTACTATGTTCCAATTTGATATTTTCACCAAACTAGGATTTCTTTAAATGTAAAAATTATTTTTTAGTGAGATCTTGAATATTTGATATCGGGTATGAAAAATAATAAATATTTAATTTTATATTTTAAAAAGAATTTAAATAAAAATTTTAAACTTACCTAATTTGATTATTTTTTTTCTTTTACTTTTTGATTTTCCAAAACTTGTTTACATTTTTTACAGTTTTTTTGTTCTTGAAGACGACCTACATGGTGGAGACTTAAATTATTATAGTGTCTTGAGCTATGCTTTACTGATTCGATACGATTACAACCAAGGTGTTCACATATACATTTTTTTTCTCCACGTAATGCAGTTTTGTTCTCTTGAGCTAAAAGGTTTTCTTTATCTTCATTATTTAATTCGAAATTTAATTTATAAGCTTCTTCTAAATTTTTTATATGGCAAGTCTTTGGATTTCTAATATGCTCTCTGATTTTATTTTCATTTTTTAAACTTTTTTTGCACCTTTTCATAGTTTTGTCATCGTAACATAAACAATAAAATCTTTCTCCTTTTTGCTCATATAAGCTAAAGAGCACTCTTGTACTATATTTCTGGCCACTTCTATCTCTAAATTTATACGACATAGGTTGCTTTTTGATTAATGGAGGTGAAGCTACATCTATATCGCTATCTTCATTATCCACTAAACTATCTGCACTATCCATACAATCTTGAAAATCTGAATCATCGTTATTGCTACTGTTTTCATCATTGATGTTTTCTTCTTTTTCTAACTGAATTTGGTTTTTATTTTCAAATACATCTGGTGGTGACAATGAAAAATTTGAAATATAATTTGAGTTGTTTTGATTAATAGGTGGGTTATATTCACTAAAAAGAAAAATATTGTTATAGTTATTTATGTTACTCTTTTCAATTACAATGTTATTAATATTAATTAAACTATTAATATCCATTCTATTATTTATTTGTATGAAATGATTATTTTTTTTTTTTTTTTTTAAATTGATATAAATAAAATATTGTGTAATTTTGATTAATTATTTGTAAAATATAATATTTAATTAAAAATATAAATATTTAAAAATGAAGATTAATGGATGAAATAAAATAAATAAATCCAAATAAAAAAAATATAAAAATAAAAATATAAAAATATAAATATTAAAAAAAAAAATAAAAAAAAAAAAAATTAAAATAAAAATAAAAAAATTTAAATTTAATTTAAATATTAATTTAATTTGGTATTTATTTGGAAAAAAGATTTATCCCTTTAAAGGATATTCTATTTTTAAATTATTTCTTTAAAAACTAAATCCTATTTTTAATTTTATAAAATTGAATAAAAACTAAAAGGTAAAATTTATTTTTTTACACAATAAATGAGATATAGAATTTTATAACAATAATACACTAATTAATCTTTACTAATTTAATATTATATTAGTTTATTGAAGAGTATAGCTTTATTTATTATTCTATATCATTAAAAAAATTAAATAATAAATTTGTATTTTTTTCATCATTTTTTAAAATTTTTTTTAATTCCACAAATGATAGTTTTGATAAATGATAGAGGTCATCGACATTATCCATAATTGATTTAATATTGTCATCGGTAACACCGGGTAAATTTTTTAAAACATCCTGTGCATTGAAATTATAATTGTCGTCATCGGTTTCTGGAATAACATTTACCGTTGATGGATCTGGTTCGGGTTGTCCCTCTTTTAAACGGTCATAAATATTTGCAGTTGAGTAAGAGCTTCTTGACCAAATAACACGAAGCCTTGGGAATGCTTTAGTCAGAATTACCAATTTGCTTGAAAGTGACTGAATGGAAATAAAAGATTGGGATATCTCTTCGAGTGGTACAAAATAAAATGGTTGATTTAAATCGAATTCGATGAGTAATATTGGATTACGATAATGACGATTCATCGCTTCGATTTGAGTATAAAGACGGCCTGATGAAAAAGAACCTATTAAATCCGAAACAGACTTTCTTTCGATACAGTGATATGGACTTGCTATATAATCACCCATCTCCAAACGCAATGGAATAATTTCATAGCCATGGTTGTGAAGCACAACTGGTAGGGATGATTTGAATTCATGTGAATCAATAATAACTTTTCTCTTTTGACCTGGTATTAATGTTGTCCTCTTTAACCCACCAATTCTACTGTTTCTATATGATACATTGGAATTATCTAAAATTTCTAATTTTGATTGATCGATTTCATCCAATTTACCTTCTTGATTTGAATCTATAACTAAATTTGATTTTTCCCTTATTAACTTTTCAAACGAATTCTTTTCTCTATTCAACTGTTGAATATACCTATACTCCTCTGTACCTGAATAAGTCATTAAATATACTCTTAATGGAATGCCTGGGTTCTCTGCCTTGTAGACCTCTATTTGCCTTACTAATGCAACATCTGGGTCGTAAATTATAATATTGGTAGGTCTGATTTCATCTAAAATTGTTAAAGAACTTTCGATTGGATGAATAACAATATATGGTGGGGTTAAAATTTGGTAAAATTGATTAAAGTCATTTGATTCTTGCACTAGATTAATATTTGATAATAGTTTTTGGTCGTCCATATGTTGCTGATCCAGGTCTATGATTTTTGGATTTGGTACAGAATTTGTTCTATTGCTGTTATCAACTAGCGAAATACCCATATTGAACAAAGTAGAGCCATTGGGAGTTTGATTCTTCTTCTTTTTTAATGTTTCTGAAATTAATTGCTTTCTATTTTCTCTAAAATTTCTTTTTCTTTTAAAATTATAACTGTAAAATGGGTTTGAGTTTGATGAGGCTGTTGGTTGTGGCTGTTGCTGTTGCTTTTGTAATTCTTTTTTAATTTCTTGTTGAATTTTGTGATTTTCATAAAACTTTTCATATTTTTTTAATAGAAAATTAAAACCACCATCGTTTAAATATGAGTAAAGTTGCTGAACTGTTCTTTCATCCTTTACAAATATTAATGTTGTGCCCTGTTCAACTGAATTGTCATTTTCTATTTCTTTCAAAATTTGATATAATAAATTCCATTTGGGGTTTTCTTCTAATTCTAAAATTCTATTTTTATCATTTAAATCTTCTACCAATCTTTCTTCTTTTTCTGATTTTTTTTTTGTATTTTTATTATTGTTGTTATTATTATTATTTTTATTATTATTATTTTTTAATTTATAAACTCTTTCTTGACTGTTTTTAAATAGTTGAGTTGCCTCTTTATTTTCTAACCAAGTTTGTATTTGATCTACTAAAGAACTTTTTATACCGTTCTCTTGTAAATTATCTGAACCTTCTTTAATCATTAACAAAAGATGATAAAAAGTGACACAGTCATATGATAATAAATTTGATGATAATCTTTTCAATAACTTTATACTCGATATCAATTGCTTTGAATAGTTGCTAACCTTGGACCAAATTGGTTTTAATTGTTGTTCAATCATTGTGTCAAATAAATCATCATCGAAATGAACCAAGTTATTTTTTGTTTTTAATTGAATGATACACGACTTTATAGTTTGATTTAATGACTCTTCGATCTTTTTCATTGTTGGTGTTAGCTGAATTGACAATTCTATTAAATCTGGTGGATGTTGATCTAATATGCACGATATATTCTGGTGAAACCTTGGCCACAAAAACAATTTCCCAACATGCAAATACTTCATAATTCTTTGTAACTTACCTAATTCATCAACTAAATAATTTGGCTCGTTTGTAAAAGCTTTGATAAATCCTTTCTATAATTAAGTTATGGTTAAATAATTAGAATTTACAATAATGGATTTTAAAGCAAAAAAATAAAAACAAACAATAATTACAAACCTTATTATATTGTCTAAATAATTTTATTAATAAATATTCAATAGAGGTATCAGTTATTAAATGAGCATTGTTTAAAATAATACCAGATATTAAGTGACAGGGCATTCTTTTTGTAAGAAAATCTAAAACGAGAATGGAAGCAGAACCAAAATAAACACCACCTTTTAAGTACATGTTGATTTTTGAAGATCCTGAATGCTCTTGGTTGATGAGTGTTGGTAAACTTGAATACTTTATCCCAAAATTTATTAACCTTTCACAATAAAACAAATAAGAGTTTTGAAGTGATTCATTTGATTTACAATCCAGAAACAATACTAAATCGCTGCTATCTGAATACCATTTTAAAAACCCTAATATAATATTATGGATACCCAATCCATTACCCATTACAACAAATCCATCATTTTTAAAACATCCATCGAATATTTCCTTGTAAAACTCTAATTTCATAATATATACAAAAAAAAAACTACATAAATTAATTGGAAATGAAAATTTAAAAGTAAAAAAAAAAAAAAAAAAAAAAATTTGTAATTTTAAAAAAAATTAAAAAAAAATAAAATAAATTAAAAATAAAAATAGAAATAAAGAAATAAAGAATAATATCATATATTTTATATTTTAAATATATTTATTTTGTTTTATTGTGACTTGATTTTTTCTTTTTTTTTTTTTTTTTTTTAAAGTTATTATTAATATTTTTATTATTATTTTAAGCATAATATTCTAAATTATTCTTCTTCTTCTTGTAATTGACCTCTTGAATACCTTCAGTAAAATCATTATGAACTAATTCTGTACCACCACGACGAAGAGCAATCATACCAGCTTCAACACAAACGGCCTTTAATTGAGCCCCATTAAAATCTTCAGTTGAACGAGCTAACTCTTCAAAGTTTACATCTGGATGAACATTCATCTTACGGGAATGGATTTGAAGGATGTGTGCTCTGGCTTCTTCATTTGGTAATGGGAATTCAATCTTTCTATCTAAACGACCAGATCTTAAAAGAGCAGGATCGAGAATATCGATACGATTGGTAGCGGCAATAACTTTAATGTTGGCATCACTACTGAAACCATCCAATTGATTGAGTAACTCTAACATAGTACGTTGAACTTCTCTGTCACCACTAATTTCACTATCGAAACGCTTGGTACCAATAGCATCTAATTCATCAATAAAAATAATGGTTGGTCCTTTTTCCTTGGCTAATGCAAAAGCATCACGAACTAATTTGGCACCATCACCAATAAACATTTGTACAAGTTGTGGTCCTGCTAATTTAAGATAAGTTGAATTGGTTTGAGCAGCACATGCACGAGCTAATAATGTTTTACCTGTACCTGGTGGACCATACATTAAAACACCCTTTGGTGGTTTAATACCAATTGATTCAAATCTTTCTTTATGGGTCATTGGTAATACAACTGCTTCGACAAGTTCTTGAATTTGTTTATCTAAACCACCAATATCACTGTATTCTTCTGTTGGTTTTTCATCAATTTCCATTGCTTTAACACGTGAATCATATCTATTAATTATGAAAAAAAAAAAATAAAAAAAATAATTATTATTAGTATTTATCAAGATATAAATATGATATTTATGTACAATTATAATACATACTCTGGTGGTAAAGTGTCGAGAATAATATAACTATCTTTATTAATACCAACAAGATCGCCTGGTCTTAATTTTTCAACATCTACAATACCTGGATAAGCTAAAAATATAGTCTAGTTATTTTTTTAAAATTAAAATTAAAATTAATTTGATGTTAATATAAATTATAATAATTATAATTATAAATAATATAAATAATTACCTGTCTAGTTGAAGCTTTAACAACAACACATTTTGAAGGTTGAGTTTCACCATCTAAAACCATATCAATAATTTCAACAACATTTGCAACTAAATGTGGTAATTGAGTATTAACTTGTAATTTATCATTATTTTCTTTAATTCTTTTTTGTATTGAATCCATTTCAAGATGTTTTGAAATATGTTCGCTTCTTAAAACTTTAGTTTCATTCTCTAATAATTTAGCTTTTCTATTAATTTCATCTGCTGACATTTGAAAAATTTCATCTGGAATGACTGCTTCTTTTTCAGCTTGTGGCATTGAAGCTGCTTCACTTTCTTTTGAACTTTGTCTTTTGGACATCTTTTATATGTGTTATATATTTACAAAAAATAAAAAAACAAATAAAAAATAAAAAAAAAAAAAGGAATATAAATAATTTCTTTTAAACCACCAATCTAAAATATATAAAAAAAATGCTTTATATAATTTTAATTTGTTAATAAATAAAAATTATTTATATATATAAAAATATTTATATTATGTACAATTTATAAAATAAAAAAATTAATAAAAAAATTTTTTAATCACTTGTGCAGTTCAAAAAAAAAAAAAAAATTAAAAAAAAATTAAATAAAAATTAAAAAAAATAAAATTTAAGAAAAAAATTAAAAAAAAATTTTGAAAAAAAAATAAATAAAAAATTTTTATATTAAATGAATAAATAATTAATATATAGAAAAAACTAATAGAATTTATTTATTTATTGAAAAAAAAAAAAAGTTCTTAAATATAAAATGAATTATTTCTAAAAAATATTTAAATTGAATAAAAAATAAAAAAATTATTATTCAAAAAAATATTTTAGAAATAATTAAAATCGGTCATATCAGATGATTCAACATGACCACCATCGATTTTCATCAAGCCATAGATGTGGACAACTGGATATCTTGGAGAATTGTCGGCATGGTCAGAGAAGCAAATCCAATTAAAACGTTTCTTTAAGTGAAGTAAGCAATCCATCAATTGTCTGTGGGAGTCAAAAGAGTATAAGTCACCAGATCCATGAATCTTATTGCCTTTGTTGTCATTCTTTTCAATAAATTCTTTTATCGATGATTTGACTGTATCGTGGTCTACTCTAGCACTATCAGATTGTTTTACCCTTTCTCTAATACCATCTTCATCCCAACGTAAAACCAAAGCATTTGCATGTATTGGGCCATTGACTAAATAATGAACTGCTGCATCAATTACCTCCTCTGGGACTTTACTATTTTTAATAGTTTCATCATTTAAAATATTGTTTTTTAAATCTATAATAATAAAAAAAAAAAAAATTAATATTTAAAGTATAATTATATTTATTTTGGCAATTTGTAATGTTATTTATTTACCTTTGTTTTGATTAGAAAAAAGATTTAATACTCTCATGATTGATTTGCTGAATTAAAAACGATAAATAATACTGAGTGTAATAATATAAAATGAAAAGTAATAAATAAAGAGTTACTAATATTTAATATTGTATTATTATTAATATAATAATAAAAAAAATAATTGAAATATTTTAATTTATATAAGATTTTAATAAATAAAAAAAAAAAAAAAAAAATAAATTAAAACTCATTTTAAAATTATTATAATATGATACATTTATGGAGACTGCAAACCCATTTTGTGTAATTATTTAACATTTTATTTAAAATAGCTATTAGATTACCGAAAAGCAATTGACTACCAAAAATAAAAATTAAAAAGATAAGTTCTGTTTTAATGTAATGGTAGATGTGTTTTTATATACAAATTGGGGATAATGATCATTATCTCTTTATTTAATTTTAGTTTTTTTTTTTCCTTTTATTTATTTGACTTTTTCTTTGTACAATCTGGACAAAACCATTTACCCTTAGGATTGCTTGTAAGTCCAACGCATTCAAAGTGGAACCATTCAATTTTACACTATAAGATTTTAAAGAAAAAAAAAATTATGATTAATATACTTCGCAGTGATATATATTGAAAATAAAGAGTTTACTTACATCTGGGTTTTCACAACCAACCATTTCACCAAATGAGACCCTATTACAAAAACAATAAGTTGGTTCGTTTGGATCAATAGCCAAATCCAAATCACCTTGGTTTGCATTAAAAACCTTAATATCAGAGGTGTTATTACCAGTGATGGATGTGATCTCTTGTTGCGATTTCTTCCTAGAAAGCGATCCACTTGTATTGGTTGAACTTGTAAGTGTTTCTCTTGCCTTGCCTTTTTTATTTTGTTGAGTTGTTTCACTTGCCGATGCCTGCTTTGATTTCTTTTTCTTTTTTTCCTCCTCCACTGTAAAAAAAAAAAAAAAAAATTTATTTAATAATCCATTACAAAAAATTTAAACTATGATAATACTTACTCGTTTCAAGCTCAACTTCAAACTTTTTTAAATCTGCATCTAGTTTCCTTATGTGTCTATCAATCTATTAAAAAAAAAAAAAAAATTAATTTATAAACTATTTTTATTATAATAAAAAATATACCTACCAATTCATATGTTTGGTTTGACAATTCAACCTTTTCATCTGAATATTCTAAAATTTGTTTTAATTCATTTTTTATTTGCTTTGATGATTTCTCATCGGTTAAATTATGTATTACTTTTCTTGTGGAATTTGTATTAACCAATAAATTGTTTTTCAATTTTTCGATTTTATCTACTAATTCGTATGATCTATAATCTAATTCTCGGATTAATGCGAAATTTCTATTTAATTCTGAAGGTAATGTTGAAATTGCTAAAATTAAAAATTTAAAAAAAATTAGTAATCACTGAAAATCCAAATTCAAGAAAAAAATTAAAAAAAATTTTTTCTCCACATAAAAAATTTAATATGGGACTACTTACTATCCAAATAATTTTCGAGATATGTTCCTTTTCCTTGATACATTTCTATATAAATATTGGTTAGGTTTTCTTGGGTATTACTTTTATAGTTTGTTTAAAATTATATTAATAAATAAAAAGATAAATTTAAATATATTACAATGTGTATGAATAAAAAATAATTAAGGTGTGAAGAAAGAAAAAATACAAATTTTAAAAAAATTTTAAAAAAAATTAAAAATTTTTTTTTTATTTATTTAATTTTTTTTTTTTTTTTTTTTTTTTTTTTTTTTTTTTTTTTTTTTTTTTTTTTTTTTTTTTTTTTTTTTTTTTTTTATACATATCTAAAAAAACAAGTTTATAAATTTTAATATCAATTTAAACATTTAAAAAAATTAAAACTATATTTTATAGAATTTTTTTTTATTTTTTTTTTATTTATTAATTTATAAATTTTCCAGTTTTTATTGAATTGAATGGTTATTGGTGTGTAATAAATCCTTTAGTCTTAAAACTCATTATTATTATTTTTATTATTATTCTTGGTTAATTCTCAAATGGAAGTTATGGAATAAATTTATAAGATTGTTTTTTTTTAAATGAAATTAAATTAAAATAAAAAAGTGATGTGTTTAGTATAGATATTAAAAAAATATAAATTTGGTAATATGTCAAAATAATATTTTTGTTGTGATTGATATAAAGAATTAAAAAAATACCCAATTTTCTTATTATTCACACCAGAATTTTTTCATCGGTAATTTTTTTTTATATAAATCTGAATTGAGAAATTTAATATTGAACAAGAAAAAGGTCCTCAAATTCCTAATTGTTAATAAAAACCAATCACTTTTATTTTTAAAAGGTTTACTAATTAAAAATAAAGAAAAATAAACGAAAATTTTAATTTAAAATATTTGTACTTTTAAAAATAAATTGTTAAAGCAATTTATTGTTTTTCAAATTTTATTTGTTGGTTTGTCTTTTTTTTTTATTATTATTTTTTTATTTTTATTATACTGTTGTCATTAGATTTAAAATAATTGATATATTTATATTTTTATTTATATTTTGAAATTTAGTTGTTGTTTTTTTCTTGTTGTTCTTGTTTCATTTTATCTAAATCTTTTTGGGTTAAATAGTTATCACCAATGATTGGAAGATGCTAAATGATTATTTGATGGGAATAATTTTAAAAAATTAAAAATTTGGTTAGTATATGCGAAATAAAATTAAAGTCATTGGTAAGTGATGATAATTTACTTTGAATAAAATACGTGGTTGAACAGCATATAAGGCAGCAACAACACCGACAACACCCCATCTTGAGGCAACTGGTGACCAGTGGATACCGAATTTGGTGGTTCTTTTGATTAATTGAGTAACATCAAAGATAGCTCTACCTAACATCTTGTTTATATAATTTAAATGTATAATGAATTGATTATAACTAAAAAACTAAAAATGAAAAAAATAAAAAAATAAAAAAAAATGAAAAAAAAAAAAATAAAAAAAAAATGAAAAAAAAAAAATTTAAAAAAAATTTAAATTTTTTTATGATTATTTTTTTCATGATAACATTCCACATTTGTGTATGGTCCATTCTTTGTTGTGTATATTATATATTAATATAAATTATTAAAAAAAGTACTTTTTGAATTTATTTTAGACAAATAAAACAATATTAAACATAAACAATAATATAAAAATAAAAATAAAAAAATAAAAATAATAAAAAATTTTTAATTTTTTTTTTTAATTTTTAATTTAATAATTTGCGAAATATACAAAAATGATTATAAATTCAAATATTAAAACACTGTTGGAAGAAAGATCAAAAAAGATAACATCATCGATAGAGTTTGGCTTGTTGATTGGACAGGTAAATAGTTGTATTTGCTATAGAATAAAATTAATTCATGTTCTAATTTTATTTTTTATTTTTAATAGCAAAGTAATATTAACGATGAAGCTTATGTTTTAGGTTTCTTCCCCTCACCACCACAACTATCAGAATATAGCGATACAAATACTGAAAAAAAGCAAGAACAACAAGAAAAAATAACAACAAATGATTTAAAAAAGCTAATTGATAAAGAATGGATTTTGGAATTTTGCTTTCAGGTTTATAGAATGTTATATGGAGGAATTTCAATAGTTGGATTTTATATTATAACGCCAGATAACGAAATATTAAATGACGATGATGAGTTTTTTATAAAGCTTTTGAAATTTTTGGATGCAAATATGACCGAACCAATAAAATCTATACAGTTTATTTCATACTCACTCAAAACAAATTTAATTAATGGTAAATTAACAAACTCTTCATTAAATGTAATTATTACTCAATTAAATATCCCAAATCATATATAAAAGTTATTAATTTTTTATTTTTATTTATCATATATAGTATAGATTAAAATCCACAGAAATTAAAATAATCAATAGTCTAGAAAATGAATTTTTAAAATTTAGTTGTAATTTCCCTATTGATATTGTGCTACATTCAAAGTAAGTATTAATTATAAACAAAGCCAAATATACCACATATTTATTTACTTTTTTAAAGAAAAAAAATTGAGGATATCAACGTTGTAGATTTGAAGAAACAGGTTAAAGAGACATTTAATAATCTGTTTAAAGACTCATTGTTTTTAATAGACAATGAAGTCGTAAAGGAAAATATAATATCATCAACATTAAAAAATAGCAATAATAATAACTTCTCAATAGATATTTTAATAAAGCAATTAGACAGTAATTTTACAATAGAAAGCTCCAATACACCATTTCATTTTCAATTTAATTCCAATACCAATTGTATAGCATTTGCACATAAATCAGAACAGGTTTCGACTATTTATCAATATATTAAACAGGATATTATTAAATCTTTTGAATCCAGATTGGATATTATCAATGATGAACTTTTAAATAATCCATCAGTTGTTTCAAATCAATCAAATAGTATCTTAACAATATCAAATGACTTACCTATTCTACTACCAAGAAGGGTAAATATTCAATGGATCGGAAATTCAATTACAATTTGCGACTATCTTTCAAATCATGATGAAATTAACGATTGCATTGAAAGATTATCAGATTTATTACAATTCGATTCACCTTCTTCAAAAATTATCTCATATGAAAAGCTTAATTCAGTATCACCTTTAAATGGAAATAATACAAATAATAATGGCATAGATAATAATAATAAATTAAAGTTAGATAATAATAACAACATTAAAAACAATACAGTTATAAATAGACACTCAAATTCACAATCATCCAATGTATCATCTACTCTATCCCCAATTTCAAATACAGTCCCCAAAAAAAATATTTTCAAAGATAATAATAATTTTTATTTAATAATATTATTAGTTTCAATTATAGTATTATTAATAGGATATTTTTTTAAATAAATAAAGTTTATTTTAAATTTAGTCGATCGATTGGTTTTTTTTTTTTTTACTTTTACATTTAATAAATAAGTTTTTTTTTTAATTTGTCGGTTTGATGTTAAAAACATTCTTGAGTGTTATAGTATAGTTGTTTTAATCGTCCCAAGCAACTTCGTCTTCATCATCGTCGTAGTCGTCTTCGTTCATATTTTGTCTTCTGTCAATAAGAGCCTTAACCAAAATATTGACCATTGATCCGTCATCTTCGTTTGGATTATATTGAATAACCATCGAATCTCTGACCTTCTTTAATTCGGCTGGTTTTCTAATTGACTCTAATAGGGCATTTCTGCCATCTGAAGTTGGTGGTGCTTTCAATGTTGGTGGTGGTGGTGGTGGAGCAGGTGCTGGTGGTGGTGGGGCGGCAACAGATGATACTGGTGGTGATGATGGGTTGGAGGAAACCGAGGAAATAGAGGATGCAGAGGATTCTAATTTCTTAATCTTATTAATTAAATCATTTATCTTATTCTCATATTGTTCTCTTTCACCAGCAAATTTATTTGTAATATCGAATAATTTCTTTTCTGATTGATTATTTGATTCGTTGGCACTTAATGAAAGTTTTGATTCAAGATCAATTATTCTTTGTTCGTATTGACCTTTAACATCTATAATATCTTTTTTAAGCTTATCATTAGAGTTTTCCAACTCTTCATTCTTTTTAGAGAGTTTAGAGTTTGAATCTGTAAGAGCTTTTAATTGATCGGTGTTTTGTTTACTATGGCTATCAATAATATTTTGTGATTGAGCTTGTGATAATTTTAAGGTTTTGATAGTATTTTCTAATTGATCGATTTGAGCTGTTAATTGGTCGTTTGATGACTGAGCTTTATTTAACTGACCCTTTAATTCTTCCTTTTGTTTGGATGTGGATTCTAACTCTCTAGATTTAGATGAAAGATCTGCTTCGATTTTGTGGACCTTAGTTTGCTCTTTTCCAAGATTTGATGTTAATGAATCAATTTCGGTCTTAGCGCTATTTAAACGTGAGTTGTATTGGGTTTCATATGAGTCTCTAAGTTCTTTTTCTTTTTTGCTGAATTGATCAGAGAGATCTTTAACCTTTTTAGCATAGTCTGCTGATGAGGCATTGCTGTTGGTCGATTGAAGAGCTAATGAGTCTTTAAGTGATTCCAATTGTCCTGATAATTCTTTAATTTTAACTTGATATTCAAATGATTTTTGTTCATAATCTTTATTTTTATTTGAAAGATCCAAAATCTTTTTATCCAATTCTGACTCTCTAGTTGATGAAGATTTCTTTTCAAATTCGATGTCTTTGATCTTTGATTCCAATTGTTGAATCTTTTCGAGTAATGGACCTTTATCAGATTCTACATTCTTCTTGGAATCAAGCAATGATTTTTTGAGGCTTGATAACTCTTGTTCTTGGCTCTTATTGGCATTGACAACCAATTGGTGATTACTCTCTAATGTTGAATATTTGGTTAAAAGTTGGCTATGATCACGTTCTAATTGTTCAAGTTTAGTTTCGACACCTTTATACTTGTTGATAGTTTGATCACCACCTGAATATTTGGATTCTAATGTTTTATATTTTAATTCCAATTGTTTATTCTCTTTTTCTTCATTTGATAATTTATATTCCAATTGTTTAATTTTTTCTCTTAATTTTTCAATTTCAATATAATTATTATTATTTGCTGATGCTGCAGTTGCTGTAGTTGTTGTTGTAGCTGAGTATTTTTGGGTGCCATATGGAGATGAACTTGCAGTACTTGAGAACGAACCAGATTTACCAATACTGGAAAGTGATGAGGTAGAGGATGTCGATGAAGCCAAACTACCACTTGAAGCAGTACTTGTACTTTTATTAAGATTAACTGTTTGAGATGGAGCTGGAGCAGATGGTAATGGTTTGTTGTTAGCCGATGTTGAAAGATTGGAACGTTTTGGTGGAAGATTTGGTGCATCTGGTGATGTGTTAGTTGGACGCATTTGAGCTGGTGCCTGGCCACTTAAAACTGCATTCAAGATTAAAGTTGCTTCTCTCTTTGTGATACCTCTCTTACCAGTCGATTTAAGGGCAGTATCAACTTGTTGGAATACAGTTTTCCATTCGGGTGGAATGTTCTTTGTTTGAATACCACCATTTTCACTAATGCCAATATGAGTATTATGTTTATAATCTGTTGGGCCTGAAATTTCGAATCCTTTTACTTCTTCTTTATCACCTTCCATTAAATTACTAACTTTATCTGAAACTGCATCTTTAAATGACTCGAATTTGCTCATAAATGATGATTTTGAACTTTTATCTTTGGTTGTTAATGTTGATTTTGGCGATGAATTGGTTGATGATGAAAAGTTTTGGCCATCTGGTCTGGTTTTCTTTTTATTGTTTGAATTTGATGAAATTGATGGGGAGGCATAGGTGGTGGATGAGGTTGTGCTAACACTGCTGTTTGCACTTTTTAAATTTGGTGATGAGCTAGTTTTTGGTGGAGTTTTTGGGGGCAATGGTTTTGATTTTTGTAATGATGCAGCTGTTGGTGATGGTGATGCTGATGATACTGATACACTGCCACTATTCGATTTATTGTAGTTTGATGATACAGCTGGTTTTGGTGCGTCAGCATTTACAGATACATTTGGTGAATATTTATTGTGATCATGTAAACATTTAGAGCAATAATTTGGTTTAAATGGATTCTTTTCGAATTGAGTACAATCACAATTTTGACACTTGGCCATTGTGAAATAAATGGGTTGGTCGAGTTTATATTATTACAATTTTAAATAAATAAATAAATAAATAAATAATAAATAAATAAAATAGAAAATAAACAAATAAATAAATAAATAAATAGTTATTACTAAAAATACAAATTTAAATATTACAATAACATGAAACTAGAAACCAAAATGAAAAATAATAAAACAAAACCCCCCCCTTTTTATGATAATAAAAAAATAAATTTTAAAAAATTAAAAAATTTTAAAATAATTTTTTAAAAATTTAAAAAAAAAAAAAAAAAAAAAAAAAAAAATTTTATTAATTATTTTTTTAAATTAAAATTTTTAAATATATAAAATAATAACAATATAAAATAAACAAATATAATTATTTATATAAACCAAATTTATTTATATTTTTAATAGTAATGACGAATATATAAGTGTTTTTTTTTTTTTTCTTTGTTTTTTTTTTTTTCTGCAAACAGAATTGTGTAAAATATCATAACAAAATATATATATATCATATAAAAACAATAATAAATAAAACCAAATAATAAATACTAAATATTCAAAATATTAAATAAACAGCATACATATAAAATCAAATATGAATTTCTTTTTTAATTGTTGCACATGTAATAATAAATTTAATTTCCACGAGAGTTATTGCGAATCTTGTTTACAAAGAATAAAAAATGACCAAAGCAAAGTATTTGACCTAATTCAATCAGTATTTGATAAAAAAAGGGCAAATGTAGAGTATAGAACTAGAATCATCAATGATATTCAAGATCCATCTAATCGATTAAAAGAAACCATCAATATTAAAAGTACCTATCTGGAGAGTAGGAAACAACAACTAGAGGTATTAAAAAATAAAATTCAAAACTTAAAAGTTATCGTTAATAAAGGTAATTATCAGATACTATTCATATTATTAAGAAATTGCAATACTAACATATCTTATTTTATTTCTTACAATACAGATAATGGATATATTGATGTTAAAAAGAAATATTTAAGCACTAGAAGATCAAGTTTAAAAAAAAATAAACAATCATTTGAAAATGCAAATAATGACGATAACAATAATAACAATAATAGCAATACTAATAATAGCGTATTTATATCACTTTCAGAGGAAATTCAGAAAAAAAAAGAACAGTCTGCAATAGAAAATAATCAATTACAAATTATTAAAAGAACAAAAGTTGACCAACTAGCTAATGTAGTAAAATTACAAATCTCATTAAATCCGAATAATCCTGATCACTATTTATTGTTTAATATGGTTTTAAATGATAATCAACTATTAAGTATGTGTCTATTTACTTTTAACACTAACGACAATATATCTTACTAATGATTTCATTTATAGAATTCCCTAAAGATATTATATTTACAACGCTAGGATACATTTCAAAAATAGTATTTTTAATATCAAGTATTTTAGGCATTACTCTACCCTATCATTTAAATTATAAAGGTTCAAAGTCAACAATACATCATAATCTTAAATCTAAAGACTACCCATTATTCTACCATAAAACCAAGTCAAGAGAATTTCAAAAGGCATTATATTTATTAGGCGAAAACATTTCATTCCTTAGATTTTATCACGGCCTATCCTCCCCAAAAGAATCAAATTTATTATTTTTAAAAAATGTTTGTGAACTAGTTAAATCACCAAATTTGGGAAAGTAAGTACACCACCCCCTATATTTATTTATTTGTTCATTCATTAATAAATTTATATTAATGCCATTTTATTTTTATAGGGACCAACAAAATCTAGAAATTCGATCAATGGATATTGAATATGATGATACAAAAGAAGATGAATGGGAAGTAGTTACACCAATAGAAGAAGATGACAGCTTTGAAAAATTCATTTATGATCATAGTCAACAATAATCAATAATATCCCCAAATACTAAATTAAAAAATAAAGCTTAATAAATTTTGTACATATATAAAAATAAAATAATAAAAAAAAAAGAAATCTACACATTTTAAAATGATTATATATTATAATTTTATTTATTTATATATATTATCGAAAATTTATATTTTATTTTATTTTTTATGTTATTTTTTTATGTTAATTTTTTATTATTTTTTGTTTTCTACTAATAAATCTATATTTTTTTCTAAATTTTCATCAACTTTTAATGCAGTTTGTAATGATTCTAATTCTTTTAAACCAGGGGATAAAGAAACAGCACCAACTAAAATTGATAATTTTGCAACCTTTTCCTTTAATTCTTCGATTCTATTTTTTGGGGCATCATTTGATTCATTTTTTAATAAATATAAAGTCTTTTTTAATGTATCTCTTTCACCTAAAACAGTTTTAACTGCAGCCATTGATTTCTTTACTTTTCTAAGACGTAATGGATTTTCGAGTGTATTTCCTTTATTTGATGCTTTTTCTGTTAAAAGTTTATTTCTTTCAATTGATAACTCGAACCAAATTTCGTGTAAATCGTTGAATGATTTACCACGAAGATCTTTAGCTTCCCATGAACGACCTGCATGTGGGTATGTACCTTTTGCATAATTATGTTCGAATAAATCCTTTAAACTTTTTTCTGCTTTACGTTGATATAAACCATTATTATCTCTAATTAATTTAGAAATACCGCTTCTAAAAATTTGATTCATTTTATATTTGTATATATATATCTATATTATATTTATTTTGAGATAGGGTTGAGTTGAGGTGTTTTGATTTTCTTTTTTTTCTATTTCTAAATTTACTGTTATTACTATACACACACAAATTCCAATATAATTAAAACTAAAATTATATATATAAAACTTTAAAAAAAATAAAATAAAGCAATTAAAATAAAAAAATTTTATGAAAACGAATTTTTTTTTTTTATTATTTTTTTTTTTGACCTTTTTTTTTTTTATGCTTTCGTATTTCAAATTTTAAAAAATAAGTGGTGTGAAAAATTTTTTTAATTTTTTTTTTTTTTAATTTTTTTAATTTTTTTTTAATTTTTTTTTTATTTTTTTTATTTAATATTTTTTATTTGTTCTATTTATTTAAAAAAGATTACAATCATGTCCTTTTTAATTAGAACTATTCGTTCTGGTGCATTTAAAACATCAATTAGAAACACAAATGCTGCTTTTCAATCATCAGCATTAAACAGAGCTGAAAGACCACCAATTCACTTTAAAGATAATAAATATGATGGAGAGGTAATTTTATCATTTTAGTTGAACTAGCAAATCACATTAATAATAATAATAACATAATAATAATAAAATAATAATAATAACATAATAATAATATAATCATAATATGATAATAATAATATGATAATAATAACAACAGGGTTAACCAATTTTAGGAACTATATCACCAAAACAGAATATTTTTTTGGATTACTTTATAAACAAAATAGTAAAGATCAAATCACCAAACACAACTTCAGACACCAAAACTTTTTTTTTTTCAAAAAAAAAAAAAAGATCAAATGTGGTTTTTATTTATAAAACTAAATTATAAACTTGAAGTAATGATATATTTGTGATTTAGTTTTTGGTTGTGATAATAGTGATTTTAAATAATAAATCAAAATATAGTAATAGCCAGTAATAAATGTTTAAAATAAATGTTTAAAATAAATGTTTAAATAATAAAATTTAAACAATACAATTATAAATTTATAATAAATAATAAATAAATAATAAAATCAAATTTAAACAAAACAAGATTTAATCAAGATCATTAATATAAATACTATTGTTATAATCACTAATTATAAATTATTGTTATCATATTACTACTCAAAATTAAACATTATTTTAGCTCCCAGAATTATTTGAAATTAACCCAGACTTTATGTCTCCAGATGCCGATGCTTATTTAGAACAAGATCCAGGCGTACATGCCAATTTCTTTTTTAAATTCTTTGGTATGTTAGCTGCTTTTGGTTTCACCTGCTATTTACTTTGCGATCCAAACAATAAACAAGTTGTAAGTAAAAAAAAAAAAAAAGCACATTATTATTTTTTTATAAAACTATTCCTCTTTTATTTCAGCATATTCTTACAGAATTAAAAGTTTAAAATTACAAATAATCAAATAAATAATAACAAATCATAATAGTTTGTGGTTAGAGTGGGTTAGAGTGTTAAAAATATAATATAAAAAGAAAAACAACAATAACACGTCAATAAAATAATAATTTTGTAATATTGTTGAATTAAATTTGTATTATTTAGTAATATAAAGTCAACAAGATATACAAATAAAAACAACAAATCTTTGTAGATTCAAAAACAAAAAAATATCCAAAAATAATTTTGAACAAAAGATTTAGTATAATATAATAAATACATTATCCCAAAAGAAATATAAATAATAAAATAATAATAATAATATTACAATTGCATACAATGATACCATATCAACTCTTTAACAAATAAATAAAAAACAAAAACAAGAATAATAATAGTAAATCTTAAAGTATAAAACCACTTTTTAAACAGACAAACAAATAAATAAACAAACAAAAATGATTCACCCGAAATCACAATAAATCACACACACACAACAATAAATATAGCACAAAGAATAATTAGCCACCCACCCAACTTTTCTTTTAGGTTCTATTAATAACACTACTGCCATCACACACAAGAGATACTTTTCTCAAACCACTGGCAATACACACACACATACAAAATTTATTTATTTTATTTTAATACCATTAATATATTATATGTCATATTAATTACTTATTAATTAAATTATTATAATCATTAATAATAATACAGGTTGAAAGAGATTTACCATTTAATAATTTATATTTAGAATATGGTGGCGATCCAAATGTTGTTCCAGACGAAAAAGAATGGAGAGTTAGAATGGGTGACCGTCAAGCAATCTATAACAGCAAAAAAAATTAAATTTATAATAACAGAATTGATAATAATATAATAACAGAAACCAAACAAAAAAAAAAAAAAAATTAAAGACTCTAAAAAAAGAATTATATATAATATAATAAATGTATAAAAAAAATTTTAAAAAACAAAACCCAGTATTTTAGTTACAAGGGTGTCATTTTCAGAAACCCTCCCATTACATAAAAAACACACAAAATATATTCAAATTCGCTTGGTTTTTTTTTTTTATTTTTTTTTATTTTTTTTTTTTGTTTTGTTTTTTATTATTTGATAAATTTTTATTATAATTAAATTATAATTATTAATTTATTATTAAAAATAAAATAAATTAATTTAAGTATATTAATATAGTGGAATGGGTGTGGTTTTATAAAAATAATTTAAACAAAAAAAATAATTACAATCTAATCGTCACTAAATATCATCACCCACCTTATTCTATTGTTATTTTAATTATTAACATCTTGTTCATTGATTAAATTATAATAAATAAAAAAGATAAAAAAAAAAAAGGTGTTTTTTGATGATTTAAAAGAAATCACCACACACAATCCCAATTAATTTTCACACACTCAATTTTACTAACTACTTAATAATAATTATTAGAATTAATCAAGCCCTTAATCATATAGAAACTATGAGATATTGGATATTAAACTACAACACCATCACAATATCACACATAAACTTCACTTTTTACAAAGAAATTCAAATTAACTAAAAGATTATCACAAAGAAATAACACTTCGCTTTAAAATACTAATTATAATTGAAAAAGTTGTACTTCTATCGAATTTAATTTTCTCTATTTTATTTTATTGAATAAAACCATATATTTATTTTAAATTTCATTTTAAAATGATATAATTTTAACTTTTTTCTTTGTTTTTAAAATGAAATGAAATTTAAATTAAAATTATTAAAAACCATTAAAAATCAACAACAATTATGATGTGTAACATCTTACAAAAAAATGATTAAAATAAAAATAAGATTCTTTCTTTTAAATTAAGTTCACCCTTGATATATATTTCCACTTGCTTACCACACGCCCATTCTAAATTTTTTTCCAATTATTCTATCTCTTAACATAATCATTATTACAATTATTTCACATACCCAAAATTAATATAAAAATGTATACATCTAAATTTATATATTGTCAGTTTATTTTTAAAAAACACACACACCAGCACCATTATCATTTAATTTATTTTTTTGAATTTTTTCTTTTAATTTTTATTTTTTTGATATAAATGAAATTGTATTTTTAACCTTTGAGGTTATTTCAAAAAAAGGAAATAATATATTTTTAACCTTTATTTTTTTATTTATAAAGATTTAAAAAAATAATAATAATAATGATACTTATATATGAGTTCTATGTGTTGATTGATGGTGGGGTGGTTTGTATGTGAGTGTGTGGTGTTTTGTATTGTTTTTTTTAATTGAAAGTAAAAATAAATTTAAACAACAATAAAATTTATTATTTATAATTAATATATATAATTTTTATTAGAGTGTGTGGTTTGTGTGATAGAGTGCTGAAATAATTGAACTAGTTGGGAATTGTGAAGTGATTTTTTTTTTTAGAGAGATAAAAAACAATCTTTAAAAAATAAAGAGGCGCACGCACAAAAAAAAAAACAAAAAGAAAAAAAAAAGAAAAAACTATTGTTTGCTTTCACTAAAAATATAAAATCACAAACCATTATTTTTATTATTATTATTATTATTTTAAAAATAATTAAAATAAAAATATACCCACACTTATTTTACAAACAAGTAACACACATAGTGCACCTTGATATTACATGAAGCGAGTTTTTATTTTTTTATTTTATAACCAAAAAACAATACACTGCTCTTATATGTGGATTATTTTTTTTTATTTTTTTTTTTTTTTAAATTAATAATATTTATGTTATTAAATTAATTTCTTATTAATAATGAAAAGATGGTGAATAATATATTGTTATGTTAAAAAAAACATAAAATCAATTGATTGAAACAAGATTTTTTTTTAAATTCGTTAGGTTTTTTTTTTTTTTTTTTTTTTTTTTTAAACAATATAATTATTTTTTTATTATTTATTTTTGATCTCAATTTTTGATTTTTTTTTTATAAATTGGAATTGAATTCAAACATTTTAAATCATTTGTTTTAAAAATACAAATATAATAATAATAATTTTAAAAAAAAAGATATAAAATATTTCATATATAAAAATTTTTTTATTTTTTATTTTTTTTGTACTACTACTTTTAAACTTCTATTACATTTTATTGTACCATTATAGATATAATAAAAATAATTTAATTTCAATTATTTCATATTTTTTTCATTTTTTTACATATTGTTTTTTAAATTATAATTTTTTATTTTTATTTTTTTAAAAATAATTTTTTTCATATTAAATCTAATTACCATTTGTAATACTATATAAAAAAAAAATATTTAGTTTTATAGATTTAAAACCTATAAAATGGAACAATTTTTACAATTATCAAATCAAGAAATTTCAAATATTTATACATCAATGAAAGGTTGTAATACAACAATGGTATTCGCCTATGATGGAACAAGAAGAACCTATTTAATTACTGAAGGTTTGAAAAACTTAAATGCTGAATCTGCTGGTGGTGCATCAACAACCAATTGTGCATCAGCCTCAAATTCAAATACTAAAGCAAATAATAAATCAAACAATACATATAACTCTAATACTCATATAAAAATTGATTATTTAGAGTACTCTAAAACCGCAATACATAAATTTTTAAATTTATCAATCACAATGTTTCAAGTAATTATTGTTTTAAATTATTATAATAATGTAAACCAACAATTTTATTAACATTTTTTTTCTTTAAAATAGCACGGTATTAAAACTATTGTTTATCCAATGTGGTTTTGTACTTTAGAAAAACGTGGCCCAGAATATCTCCCAAAATTTATACAATATTTATGGGGTTTATCTGCTTTATTGGAAGATCCATCATTGGTTCAACAATATTATGAAAGTGGAATAAAGGTTGTTTTTTATGGTGAATATAAAAAACTTTTAGCAAGAGTAAATGACCGAGCTCTTTTAGAAAAATTTGAAAAGATTATGGAGCTAACAAAAAACAATAACAAAAAATTATTATTATTGGGAACAAATATTGAAGAGCCCTCACAAACAATTATTAACAATACCCTTTCATATTTTAAAAAGTTTGGAAAAGGTAAATAATAATCATCACTTTTTTGCTTTGTTTTTGATGTTGTTTTTTTTAAATTTAGGTTTTTTTTTAAATTAGGTTTTTTTTTTAAAATTTTTTTTTTTAATTAATTTATTTTTTAAATTAATTGAAAAAAAAAAACCGTTTTACGATCTTTATTGTAAACAAATTAATTTTGTAAATGATTTATTATAACCAATTTACCACTTTTTTTTTAAAATCAAATTCTAATATTTTTTTTTTTTAATTTTAGAACCCACAAAAAAAGATTTAGTAAAGGAATATTATGGTGATAGTAACATTCAAGATGTTTCTTTTTATATTGGTTTCGATAGATTTTCAACTGATGGTAGACCAATATTAATTTCAGAGAATGGTGATGAGGATTTATATTATTCAGTTTCCCCACACAGTTTCTTTACCACTGAACATGTAAATATTAATAATTATAATACTATTTAATTATTCCACATATTAACTTTTTTTTTTTTAGTTCAGAAAAGTTTTATATGACCATTTATATCAAAGATCATGTGTAAATGCAAAAGAATATGAATTGAAAATTTCAGATGTTGAAATGATGAAAGATTTTTATGAATCAAATGCAGGACAAATTATGGGTGTAGGCTGTATTCAAGAACAAGGTAATTATTGGTACCCATCTCCACAGGTAAAAATACCACAAGAATCATTAAAACAATCAATAGCATCAACATCTATTACAACAACTCGTAATAATAGTATCACATCATCTCAAATAACAACCATAAAACAAAAATTATTTAATGATAATAATAGTAACGGCATCAATTTAATAACAAAATCAATTAAAAAACTTGATATAAATAATAATAATATAAACAACAATAATAGTTATAGTGATAGTAATAAAACAGTTCTTAGTAAAAATGGTAATAACACAAAAGAAACTGACAATATAAATAATAATAATAATAATAATAATAATAATAATAATAATAATAATAATAATAATAATAATATTAATAATATAAATAATGATAATGATAATAATATGGTCAAAAAAGTAAATGAAAATCAAGACAATATTGTGAATATAAATTATCAAAATAGCCCAACTATTAATAGCATGGTGTTGAGATTCCCTAACGGCTCGCCACCATCCCCAAGATATTTAAACAATTATGTTTAAATTCTAATAATAAAAAATAATTGTATTATAATTTATATATATATAGATAAAACACACTTAAAAAAACTAAATAAAAAAAAAATTATAATAAAATAAAAACAATTTCTATATTATTGTTTCCAATGGCTTTTTTTCAATTAAAATCACCCCCAATAGATATTTTTTTCTGATTTTTTTAAATTTTTTTTAAATTTTTTTAAAAAAAAATTAAAGATGAATTGTTTTTATTTTTGGATTGGTAATACCTATTCAAAAAAATTTTAAATTTTTTTTGGAAATTAAAGACCTGGGGGTTAGATTGTGAATTTTTTATTAAATTTCTCTTAGTTCAAAGTAGCACTTTCATTTACCACAAGTTTTTTGGAAGTAGATCTAATAATGATTTTAAAAATACTTTTTAAAATTTATTTTATTTTTATTTTAATGTCCAAATGATTGTGGGTATAAAATTAGCTCTTTTTAGTATCAAAAAATATTATTTTTTCTTTTTTTAATTTAATTTATACGATTAAAATCAAAATATCTCCCATGTGTGGTTTAAAAAAGATTAACCCGCTCACACGCACACACCCCAGCCACAACCACCCCACACTCTTTACATACATACACAAATTCCTTTACCCCCAACACTTTTACTCATAAACCACATATCCAAAAATGAAAAAAAATAATAAAAAAATAATAAAAAAAATAATTAAAAAATAAAAGTTTTAAAGACAATAACTAATTTTAAAAATGGAGTAAAATAATACAACACCACCCTTATTTTAAAAATATATATAAATTAGGTCAATTAGGGATATGTAAAATGGATTTTCGTTTTTTTTTTTCTAATTTTAATTTGATTTTATTTTTATTTTTTTGATATATAATTTTCACCTATTTAAACTATTTCTATTTCTTTTTTTTTTATAATTATTTTACTTATTAAAATTAAAAGTATTGTCATGTGCAGTTTAACCTTGTTATACAATATTTAACAAAGTCATAATTATTATTTATTTTTTTTTTTCATATTTATTGTTATTTTTTTTATATCATATTATTGATGTTATATTTTAATTATAAAATATAATTTTTTTATTTTTTTCAATATTTTCATTTTTTTTAATTGTATGGTAATATATAATAAATGTTTGTATTAAAAAAAAAAAAAAAAAAAAAAAACCAATTGACTTTTTTCGTATATAGTTATTTGTAAATTAAAAAAAAGTTAAATATATTATTTTTGTAAATTAAAAAAATCATAAAAAGAATGTAAAATTAAATAAACTCAAACCAACAACAAAACTTTTATAAATTATTAATTTTTATAAAATATTTTTTTTTTTAATTTAAAATATTCAAATACCAATTCCATTATCTTTTTTTTCTAATTAAAAATTATTTTATTGTTTATAAAGAAAATTAAAATATTATTTTATCCATAATCATCAATACTATCAATTTATCAAAAATTAATATCATCAAAAAATAATTAAGAATATCTAAAGATAAATAATAATAAAAATTTATAATAATAGTATTTTTTTTTTTTTTTTTTATTTTTTTTTTTTTTTTTTTTGGATTAGATATATCTTCTAATTTTTTTTATATAATCATCTTCACATATTACCACAATAAAAACTCTATCATTTCTATTATTATTTTATTATTATTAAAGTTAATTTTTTACTTTAATTTTATTATTTTAAAATAATAAAATAATTTATTAAAATTAACATTTTTATAATTTTTTTTTTTTTTTTTGGATTAATATATAACAATTATATAATAAAAGTAATTCTATTTAATTTTTTTTTTTTTTTTGTGTAAATATAATCAACTAGTAATAAATAATATAATTTATATTTAATAAAATCTAATCAAAAAATTTTATTTTTTTTAATTATTTTTGTATTTATTTTTTTATTTTACTTACTAAAAATAATATAAATATAGAAAAAAGAAATAACCTTAAAGAATCATCTCAATAAATTAAATTAGTATATTTTGGTTAAAGTATTAATAATTCATCACAAAACAAAAATAACAACAACTTAAAAATGACACCACCTTTAATATTACCATGCAATACAGTTTTTAACGATTTTCAAGAATTTAATAAATTGGGTGATAGCGATATTTCAAACATCATAAAGAATAGATTAAAAAACTGCAATACAATGGTTTATGCATACGACGGAACAAGAAGATCATACTTGATAGAAAATACCAACTTTAACTCCACTAATGATGTAGAAAAAGAAACTTTAATCGACTATGACCAATACTGCAAGACTGCAATCAAGAAACTACTTTATGACTTGGTAATGATGTTTAAACATGGTATTAAAACAATTATCTATCCAATGTGGTTCTGTACATTAGAAGAACGTGGCCCAGAATATCTACCAAAGTTTATCAAATACCTAAGAGGTTTAAATGAATTATTAGACAATGAAGAATTGGTTCAACTATATAAAGAAAATGGAATAAGGGTTATTTTCTATGGTGAATATAGAGAACTATTGGAGCGTGGTAACGATCTTATCCTTTTAAAAAAATTTGAAGAAATCGCCGAGTTAACAAAAAATCATACAAATCATACAATTCTTTTTGGTACAACCATTAAAGAACCATCAGAAACAATCATTAATAATACAATAAGTTTTTATACAAAAAACCAATATAAACCAACAAAAAAAGATTTAGTTGAAAATTATTATGGTCTACAAGTGGATGATGTTTCTTTTTATATTGGCTTTGATAGATTTTCAACTGACGGAAGACCAATACTATTATCAGACAAAGGAAATGAAGACTTGTATTATACCGTTTCGCCACACAGCTATTTCACAAAAAACAATGTATGTATATAAAATAAAAGAAATATATTTATCAAAACTAATTTTTTTTTTTAGTTTAGAAAAATATTGTTCGATAAACTATTTTGTAGATCCAATGTAAATGCCAAAGAATATAAACTAAAGGTAATTGATGTAGAGTTAATGAAGGACTTTTATGAAAGCAACTCAACAAGTATAATGGGTATTGGAAGTGTTAATCCATATGGGAACTACTGGTATCCTTTACCACAATCAATTCTTCCTATTAATACTAGAATTTCAAATAATATCGCAAGTACATCAAATAATTTTGCATCTGCAACCTCAAACCACAATTGTGTAAATAGTTCAACAAATCCAAATAATAGTTGTGAACAGGGTCCTCTTATTGTATAAGTAATATCTGTTTTTTTTAATAATAGTCCATAATAAATGTTAAATATACATAAAATAAAAATAATAAAAAACAGTTTAATTGTTTTTATATACAAATTTTTTTTATTATACATTAAATTATACAAAAATAGTTCTATTTACCTTTTGTTATTATTATTGTTATTATTATTGTTATTATATTGATTTAAATTTTTAAATAAACTTGAATAGTTGATTAGTGGAATAATGCTAGGTCTACCATGGGCACATTGGAATGGGATGTTACATTCATTTAAATCTTCTAAAAGCTTAATACAAACTTCTTTGGTTAAATTATGACCAAACTTAATTGCGGTTCTACATGCTTTCGATGCTAGAATACGATGGGCAGCTGGAGGTTTTGTTGAAGGAGATCCTTTATTATTCTCTAATAAATACAAAAATTCTCTTAAATCATTTACACCTAAACCAACTAAGCAAAACATTGGAACTTGTAATATTGTAATTGACGTTGGGTTAGATCTCCATTCGAAACCCCAATCCTCTAAATTTTTTGAATATATTTTCATTAGTTCTAATTCGTAAGCTGTTAATGACCACCTTGATCTTTCTGGCATTGGGCATAAATCAAACTTGTTTTCACCAAAATATTTCTTTTCTAATGTTTCTAATTTGATTCTTTCTGATACTGCATGTTGATCTAAAACCAATACAATTCCATTGGCTTCACAAACTAAAAACTTTTTATCCCATTGTGTTATAAATTTAAAATCCTTTAGCATCTCTCTTGGTATTATTTCTTGGCATTTTTGGGTTAAAAGCTCTTTAATAAATGGCCCCATGTTTGTGGATGTCTCTGTTGTGTTATTATTTGTATTTTTTCTTCCATCAAAATATTGGCTTATTGAATTATTGTTGTGTTTGTATACCTTCATTAATTCGATTCTGCTGTAATCTGTGTCATGAACAAAATTTTCATCTTCGTGGCTGCAATTATGATGTTGATGATTATGGGTGGGACAGTTTGTTTCATCATCCAAGTCTTCATCATCCTCGTCCTCTTTCTTTTGTTTTAATATTTTTTCTTGTTTTACCGATATTGAGGAACTATTATTTTCCTTTTTAATTTGATAAACAGTTTCTTTTTCGTCCCTGTTGTTGATATTTGTTGATTCTATTTCTTCTTCTTCTTCATAATAGGATTGTGGTGGGGAAAAGAATTGGTTTTTATCAATATCAAATGTAACTTTTTTTTTGACATATTCATCGTCGGAAAATGCACTTTCGGTTGATGGTAAATCAGTTTCAGTAGATATGTTTAACAGCTTGGTATCTCTAAGGATTGGTGTGGTATTGCTTGTATTATCATCTCTGGCGTTATAGTTGTCCATATTAGATTTGAAATATTTTGAAAAAATTGCTGTATTTTCACTGTTTTCTCTTCTAATAAAAAATGTTGATGTATTAGTTGCTTTTGGTGGTGATTTTATTGAATTACTATACACATAATCTTCGCTATCGGATTCTAAATTAATAACAACTTTATCTTCAATTTTTTGCTTTTTTGTTGGTGAATCGTTTTCTTGTTTAATAAAGGGATCTTTTTGTTTTCTTTGATTTTTTAATGGTGATGCTTGTGGTGGTGATGCTTGTGGTGATGAAGGTGGCGTTATATTTTCTTCTAAGCCAGTATCCATAACCTTGGTTTCTTCTTCAGATTCATCGTCGCTAATCTCGAATGGTACAATATCTACATATGAATGTTCAAACAAAGAGTCATTTGTTTCATTTGATTTGCTAAAGGTTGAAGCATTATCAGCTAGCTCTTTATAATCTTCTTTTTTTATAAGTATTGGGTGTTCTCTTTTAACTCTATAATGATTGATATTGCCACCAGTACCTTTCTTTTTAACGGAAACTGTTTTAACACTTTTAATTGTTGTGGTGGTGGTTGTAATAGTAGTAGTCTCATCGTTTTCTAAATCTATAACTTCTCTATATGATGAAACTTTCAATGAATAATTTGCTTTATTATTATAATTGGCTTCTTCATCACTATTTTCGATGTAGCCTCTTCTACCTCTAAGTACTATCTCTTCTTCGTTCTTAAATGTTGGATTATAATTTGCCAAATGATGCTCGTCTAATAAATTTGGCTCTCTTTTTACATATGGTACAATTTCTTTATTAGTATTATTATTATCATTGCTATTATTATTTGTATTACTATTATTATTTTCATAGCAAACAATAGCTTTGCTGTTTGATAACTCCACATTTTCATTAATTAATAAATTTGCTGTTGTTGTTGCTGTTTCTATGGGTGCCTTTGTTTCTGTTGTTGCTGCTGTTGTTGCTGTAGTTGCTATTGTATAGATTGGTTTTGGTAGTTCTTCTTTATCTTTTGGGTTTAACAATTCTTTTGTTGAGAAATAGCTAGATGGTTTTTGAGGTAAAGGTTGCGGTTTTGGAGGAGAAGCTAAATTTTCTAAAATTGTATCTTCAGAATCGGTATCAGAGTATCTAAGACTAAAATCAATATAGTTAATTTCATCTTCAGTTTCATCTTTCTTTTTTTGGTCTTCTTTTATTGGTTGTTGTTTAAATTTTTTATTTGGTGAGGGCTTTAAAATTGAATCATCTTTCCCAAAAGATTCAAAGTCTTCATCTCTATCTGATTTTCTTTCTTTATTTGCTAAAATAAACAGTGGTGAACTGCCACCACTTTTTAAAGATGATTTTTGGCTGCTACTTTGATTATTGGATTGCGATGAAGATGGTGACTGTGATGAAGTTGTGATTGATTGTTCCGAAGATGATGAGGATGATAATGGTTGTAATGTTGAATTAAATTGTTGTGCCAATTGAATAGAGGTTTGTGATTGGTTTTGTGGTGATTGTGAATAATTTTGAGATGAATGTGTTGGTGATGATGTTGGTGAATATGAAAATTTTGATTTGTATGGTGATGTATTAGTGGTGGTTTTTGTAGTAGTAGTAGTAGTAGTAGTAGTAGTATTAACTTTAGTTGGTGATATATTGTTTTGTAATGAAATATTTTGTAAAGATAATTTTGACGGTGTAACTACTGATTTAAAAGGTGGTGATTGTGATTTTGATGGTGAAGGCTTTTCACTAAGGAAATAAGAATCGGGTAAAATATCATTAATAAATTTCTCTTCTTTTTTTCTTTTGCTATCAAACTGATTTAAAAATTCAGTGTTGTTGAAAGATTCTTTATTTTCATCTTCATCTTGGAAAAAATCAGCAAAACCTTGATTTTCTCTATAATTATCACCTTCGTTATTGTCATCATTTTTATTATAACCTAAATCGAAGCCATCCTCTTCATTTTCTTCAAGTTGTGAATTGTTTACGTCATCACTAATTGAATCTTCAAAAATTGAAACATCTAATGCTGATGAGGGGTCAGAACGTTTTGAATTATTTTCGTATAATAGAGTGTCATTCTCTCTAAATCTTGTTAAAAACTTGGTTATTACATTTTGAATTTCGCCTAATGGCTTCTTCCAGTCATTAAATTCTAAAAAAGTTTTTGAAGATGGTTCGTATGAACGCTCGTATTCTAATTGTGAACATTTTAAAAACAAAATAAAAATTGGATTGCTATCAATAACCTCTTTCTTTGGTATTTTAGATGTATTTGCATGAGCTCTTCTTGTTGCATTAAACAATCTAAATTTATGATATAACTGGTTGATATGTCTGTGTAATTTGGTATTTAAAACAATTCTATTGTTTAAATCTAAAATAAATGGAGTATGTTAATTTATATATTTATATATGGATAATGTATTATGATATCTATAGTTTAAAACTTACAAAAATATTGAAATGATTTATTTGGATGCCCTTTCTTTTGTGGTGATGAAACATAACCTGATAAATAAAATGATTTTTCATTTGGAAAACCCTCTGAAACTATAAATTCTAATTTATTTGCCATTTCTTGACCATAAAAATGTTTGAAATATGACATAAACGATGTATCCTGTTAATAAATAATTAAATTTTTAATAATTGTTTTTATATAATAGTATTATTATTATTATTATTATTATTATTATTATTATTATTATTATTATTATTATTATTATCAAAATTGATGATTTTTTGTTATGATTATAAATAAAAAATTTTAATTACTTTTGGAGTTTTTAAAATATTTAAACTTTTAGTTTCATCATATACAGAAAATCTAATATTTGGGAATGATAACGCTATAATTTCAATTCTCTTCTTTAGGATTAACTTTAAATTTGGATGAAATAAATTTTGTCTTCTAACTGGAAAATTTTTAAATAAATCTCTAACTTTAACAACTGTACCATTTGAAATTGGTTTATTATGGATACTGTCTTGGGAATCTATAGTTTTAAATTGCTCACATTTACCGAAATTAAAAGTTTTCTGAACTGTATTATTATTTGATGTTGAAACTATATCTAAATTGGAAACATCTGATAAACTGGCTAAAGATTCACCCCTATATCCAAATGTCGATAATGACTTTAAATCTGTTAACTTGTTGATCTTTGATGTGCAACTGTGCTCTCCAATCGTTTTAAAATTTCCATAGTTTATACCAAACCCATTATCCTTAACTTCAAACGTTAAATTTGATAAGTTTATTGAAATTACAATTGAAGTTGCTTGAGCATCAATAGAATTAAATACAATTTCCTCTATAGCTTGCTCCAATGACACTATAACTGCTGATGATCTAACTTTTAATGAAACATCTTCTTCTAACTTTTTAATTATATTATTATTTAAATTATCACTTTTATTATTATTATTGTTATTGTTATTGTTCATTTTATTTATTCTATGTGTGGTGGGTATATATGTAACACTCTTTCATTGGATGTTTAATTTCCAATATATATACACGATTATAAAACACAAAAATATAGTTTATTAATTGAAAGTGAAATAAATAAATGAAAGTAAAAAAAATAATTTGAAAATTAAAAAAAAAAAATTAAAAAATTAAAAAATTATAAAAAAATTAAAAAACAAGGATTTTTTAAGAAATAATTATTTTTAAACTTCTAAGAAGAATATTTTTTTCAAGAAAAAAAAAACAGTTTTTATTTTATTTGTTTTGGTATCAAAAAAAATAGAGTAATCTTTAAGATTTTATAAAAATATTTACAAAGAGGGTTTTTATTTATTTATTTACATATATTATATAAATTTATATTTATATTTCTTTTTAATTTTTTCCTTTTCTGTGAGTTGGTGTTTTCAATGAGGCTTCTTCGATTTCTTTTACCTTGTTTTGATATTCAGAATCATCAAATTCTTCAATCTTTACATTTGACATAATCTCTGCTAAAAATGATGAAATTTGGTGTTTACACTGGATGATTAAAAGTTTACAAAAAAATGTTAAATAATGAAAAAAATTATTTAATGATAATAAAATAATGAATGACTTGCATATACAGATTCTGATTTTAAAAGTACAACAAAGTTAAATGATGGACAACTGCAATAATCGCCATCAATTAAACACATATGTTTTGAGCCTTTTCTACCTTCGATTACATAAAAACTTCTTTCAGAAGGTAAAAATTTATATTTCCTTATTAATTCTTTATCTAAAATTTCCAACGATGCTATTATAGATTGGTCAAATATATAGTATAAACTTAACAAAGTTTCTTCTGTTATTGTATTTCCTTTATTATTTTGAAATATATTTTTAAGTACATCTGTTAACTTTACTGTGTTATATTTATTACTATTGAAATTAATGAAATTATTATTATTTATTTGTATTAAATTATCCATTTTTAAAAAAAATGAATTTTTTAAAAAAAAAAAAAAAAAATATAAATTAAAAAAAATGAAAAAAATTTTTATTGGAAAAAATTAAAATTTTGGGGTAAATTGCTTGAATATTAATTTCTTTAAAGAGGTAAATGATGATTTCCATAATTAAAAACACTAAAAACAATAAAAATAAAATAACATAAAATAAAATAAAATAAAATAAAATAAAATAAAATAAAATAAAATAAAATAAAATAAAATAAAATATTAAAAAGAAAAATGGATGGATATTTTTTTATGGTGATACTTTTTTATTTAGTATTTATTAGAGATAATGTTTTGATGAGATCCTTTTTACTGCCTTTAATTAATGAACTTGGTGTTTTTCTTTCTTTTTTCATAATTAAAAAAATTGAACTTCTTTTTTTATTTAATATTAGAAAAAAGATTTATTGGGTTGTATTAATAAAAAAACTAGAAATTTAAAAAAAGTAAATGGAAAAATATTAAATTTATAATATCAAATCCTTGAAAATTGGGAATAAAAAAAAAATATTGAATTTTTTTTGCGATTGTAAAATTAAAAATTTTTTTTATTGATATTATTTTATTTTATATTTCACACAAAATGAATAAATTTTTATTAACTTTTATTACATTTATTTTTTTATCTCTAGTAAATTCCCAACAATCACCCAACTCATGCACATATAATGGTATAGATTATTCAAATTTATTTTTATCAAATTCATCGTACACTTCAAATTCAACAGATGGCAAATATACCTATTATTGGAACATCTGCGGAGAAAGTAAAAAATGTCTTAATACTGGATTTAGTGTATGTTCATATGATAACTCTGTCATTATTTTAAATGGAATCCACCCATTATACCTTTCCGGTTCAGTGGATCAAGGTTCATTTCGAACAGTAAATGGTAACACAGTTTTGATATATTCAACAAACGCTTTTCCTTGTAGTAGTATGTAGAAACTTAATTAATTTAAAAAAAAAATTTAAATACTAACTCTATTAATAGACTATATATATCGTCAAACTGAAATTACTTTAATTTGTAGCAATAGCAGTTTTTTATACATTAGTGATGTATATGAAACAAAGTGTAGATACACTGTTACAATGACAGGTTTAGCAGCATGTGGTATAAATGCCCCAAATGTTACTAATTCACCAACACCATCTCCTCAAATCGTATGCAAATTAAACGACTATGGCCTATTTGTAAATAGTACAAGTCCAATTTCATGTACTGGTATTGGCCAAACCAAATGTCATACCGTAACAGACTCACTCTCCGTAAGCTCATCAGACTATTTTACCTTTGAAACAAGTAGTGGCTCAATTCAATGCCTTGGTGATAATATTGAATGCACAACAGCCAATGTTAAGTGTTCAATTGATCCATCAAGCTACTACGGTTTAAAAGTCAATGGCAAAGAAACCAAGCTAAACCATTATTACTCTAGCTCAAACTAAAGTTATAATCAATTTAATAATAAAAATAAAAATAAAAACAAAAAAACATTGTAATAATTATAAGGAATTATAATTTATTTATTAAAGAAAATTCTCCCAATCTCTTACGCAATATTTTACCAGTGGGCGACTTTGGAATTTTATCAATAAATACAATCCCACCTCTTAAATATTTATAATAAGATACTTTTGGTTCAAACCATTTACATATCTCGACACCAGAAACTGCTGCATTTTCTTTTAAAACAACAAATGCTTTTGGGACCTCGCCACCCTTACTTGAAGGTACTGCTATTACAGCAACATCGGCAATTTTCGGATGTCCCAATAATATAGACTCCAATTCTGCTGGAGCTACCTATATATGAATTTGAAATTAATAAACTAATTTAAATAAACTAAACAAACTATTCTAAAACTTACTTGATATCCATATGATTTAATTAACTCTTTTTTACGATCAACAATAAATAATTGACCTTCATCATCAAAATACCCAATATCACCAGTTTTAAAATATCCACTGCTATCAAAAGTATCGTTTAAACTTGTGTTACCAAAATAACCCTTCATTACATTTGGTCCAGTTACACACAACTCACCTATTTGATTTGAATCTAAATTTTTATTTGTTTCAATACATGTAATTTTTGCTTGCATACTACCAACTAAAAATCCACTTGAACCCTTTTTATTACTGATGCTATTTGAAATAGAAACAACTGGGGAAGTTTCTGTTAACCCATAACCTTGCTTGATAATTAATCTTTGGGTACCCTCATCATTTTTCGATCTACTAACCCCAATTCTTTTTTTTAATATATCTTCAAGTTCTCCTGGGAATGGAGCAGCCCCTGAAAATAAAACTGTTAACGATGAGCAATCATATTCTTTAACCAAAGGTGAATTTGATAAATCAACTGCGATTGGTGGTACTATATAGGAAAAAGTTATTTTTTCATTTTGAACTAGTTTTAAAAATTTTAAAACATTATATTTTTTTAAAAATGTGAAACCTGCCCCATATGAAAGACTGCTAAGCAATACCACAACCAACCCAAAACAGTGAAAAAATGGTAGGCAACATAATATTACAGAGTTTTTAGGATTTAATTCTTTTTCTGCTAATATAGTCTGTTTCACATTTGATAATATGTTTCTATGTGTTAAACACAACGCTTTAAAATTACCGGTAGTTCCACTAGAAAACAAAATAAAAGCGATGTCTTCATTTGATCTTACTATTGAACTCTGCTTATTGTAATCACCATCATTTTCGATAAAATCTTTAAAATCAATAACTTTAAATGATCCACAATAATTTTGTGGTAATTTTAAATCTAAAATTGGTTTGTTATATATATCATTTAATACAATAACTACCTCGCAATACTGAAATAAATCTTTTAAAAACTCTTTAATTCTATTATAGTTTTCTATATCTATTAAAATATATTTTGGTTTAACTTTTGATAAAGTGTTGTTTATTTCATCTTTGGTACTACCTGGATTAATAAGTGATACAACTCCTCCACTTAACAGCCCACCTAGTACTCCATATGAAAACTCTATCATGTTTGGCAAAATTGCCCCAATTATATCACCCTTTTGCAAATTTAATAAATTAAAACCCTTTGCAACCTAAAATTTATTTCAACCAGTTAATTTTTTTTTTTTTTTAAAAAAATAAATATGGTTATTTACTTTTTTAATTCTGGACACAATTTCATAAGAGGAAACTCGATTTAAATTTTCGTCCGTTAAAATAACTTCATTTTTTTTACTATTGATAGAATCAATAATATGGCAAGCCAAATTTTCATTTGCAACTTTTATGTCAGGAAAATCTGATTTAAAAAATATTTGGTTGTTAATTTTAACTTTCATTTTTTTTTTAAAGAATTTTTTTAAATTTGTGAATAAAAAGAATAACCATTTTAAAAAAAATAATATTAACAAATATTTTGAAGCGTTTTTTTATTAAATAAAAATAAATATAAGAAGATTTAAAAAAAACAATAATAATAATAATAACAAATATTTTGTAGTGTTTTTAAAATATCTGTATCATCTCTAAATTATTTGCAGTAAATTATTTTTTAATTAATAATTATTAATCAAAAAAAAAACTGTGTTGATAAAAAAAACTATTGTGGTTTTTATATTGAAAAAAAAAAAAATAAAAAAAAAAAAAATAAAAAAAAGATAATTTCGGTATTTCCACGGCCCACACAATTTTTTGCACACAATAACAAATATTTAGTAAGAACTTTAAATAAATTATAAATAGAAAGATATTTTTGAAATTTCATTCTATTATATATTAGAAATTACAATTGGTTTAATATATTAATTTGTTTTATAAAAAAAAAAATGTACTATTACAAAAATTTTTTTTTTCTTTTATTAAAATTATTAAATGCGCATAATATATAAAAAAATAATATGTTACTAATTTTTAATCGTCGATGGTTGTAAAGTGTGTGTGTGTGCGTGGGTTTTTAATATTATTCGATTTGTTATATATATAATTATGATGAAGATAATTTTTTGGCGGAATCTAAAGCAACTTCTAACATCTTGAAAGTACCTTGGTGGACAACTTCTCTATTTGGTTCGTATTTTTCTGAGATTTCTCTTTCGAAAATATAATTATCAATGTTTACACAAGCACCAGCTCTGATTCCTCTGAGAGAAGCAACAATGAATAAAACGGAGGCTTCCATTTCAATAGCTAAAACCTTTGAACGAGCCCATAATTTATTATGATTACCGAGTGGGCCATCGAAAAAGTGACCAACGGTAGTGATAATACCAACACCATAGTTGACGGTTTGTGTGGCTTTGGCAGATTCGATTAAAGCGGCAACGACTTCGTGATCAGAAAGAGCTGGATAACCTAATGGAACTAAACCTTCAGAAACACCATCACTTCTAACGGCACCAGTAGCAATGACTAAACTACCTTCACGATAACGTGGATCGAAACTACCAGCAGTACCGGCACGAATAATAGTTGTGATACCTGCTTGGATGAGCTCTTCGAAACAAACTGATGCACCACCGCCACCAATACCATGGCTCATAACTAACATTTCTGTATCTTTCCACATACCCTTATAACAATGATATTCTCTGACTGCACAAATTAATTCTGATTTGGTGAAAAATTTTTCTGATACTAATTTGGCTCTATTTGGATCACCTACAACAACACAAACTTTTGGAAGTTTATCGATTGGTAATAAACAAATTGGAGTAACTTTGATTGTTTCTGTCATTTTATTTTTATTATTTAAATATCTATATATTATTTATTATTATTTATAATTTGATTAAAAAAAAAAATTTTATATATTAAAATTTCTTAAATTCTTTGTTTGAGAAAATGATGATTTTTAGAAAATGAATTGAAAAAAAAAAAAAATTTTAAAAAATAAATTTAAAAAAAAAAAAAAAAAAAAAAAAAAAAAAAAAAAAAAAAAAAAAAAAAATTATTTCCAATTTTTTTTTTTTAAAAAAAAAAAAAAAAATGCCCCGAAAATAATATAAGATTATATAGATAAAAATAATAAATTAAAAATAAGGCCAAAAAAAAATATATTATAACTAAAAAATTTAAAAAAAAAATTTTAAATTTAACAAAAAATTTTTTTTATTTTTTTCAATATTTTTTACATTCATTTTTACAGATAAAAGATCAAAATGAAAAGAGATGGAGAAGAGAAAACTCCTATAGAAAAAAGTGAAGGTATGTTGGTTTATTTGCAAATTTAAAATTAAGAAATTTGTGGTATTAAATACTTTCCTTTTTAAAAACAGATAATAAAAGATTTAAAGGTCAAAATAACAATAATTTTAGAGGTAGAAATAACAACAATAATAATCAACAGAATAAAAATGAAGAAAAAGATTTAGTTTTCAATGACCCAGAAATAAAAACATTATTTTCAGCATACAGTAAGAAATTGGATGAGGATGTAAGACTATTTAGTTTTAATACTATTATTCAAATAAAAGCATAATAATAAAATATTAATATTAATAATATTTTTCATTTACTATAATAGAATGATAGAAGAGAAAGAATTGTTAAAAGTAGTAGAGATATAACCATTCAAAGTAAAAGAGTTATATCGTTATTGCAAAGAGCAGTATGGGAAGATAAGAATGAAATTATTAAACAATCAAAACAAAATTTACAACCAATTTATAAACTATTTGAAGTTATTATTAAAGAGTTGGATCAACAGGAATATTATAAATTTCAAAGAGCATTTTCGATGGGTATTCAAGAGTTTGTCGAAGCAGTTTCATTTCAATATTATTTAGAACACTCCTCACTCATTTCAGTCGATGAAATAATAAATCCAATGAAAGAGTCATTGGGATTAGAATCATTAGGCCAATTTTCAATTTCATTAGAAGACTATGCATTGGGTATTTGCGATCTTAGTGGTGAGCTTATGCGTTATGCCACAAACCTTTGTACAAAGCAAAAGATTGATGAATGTTTTAATATATGTAGTTTTGTTAGAGAAATGTCAAATGGTTTTAAAAAGTGTCATTTAAATAGAGATATTTCAAGCAAAATGAATACAATGGAAGATAGTTTAAAGAAAATTGAAAAATGTAAGCATTATTATCTATTATTATTATTTAAGAGCAATTTATCATTTTATTAACCATCATTTTTTTTTACAATAGTATGTTTTAGTATTAGAGTTAGAAAATCAGAATTTCCAAATGTTGATATTTTACTTGGTAGCGATAGTATGAACGAACCAATGAATATAGAAAACTAATAAAATTATAAAAAATAAAGTTTAAATATTTAAAACATATAAATATAAATAAAATAAAATATTGTAAAACTATTATTAAATTTTATTATTGCTTTTATTATTTACAAAAAAAACAACAATGTTTTTATATTTTTTATTTTTATTTATAAATGTTGTTATTATCTTCTTGAGGCACGGAATACGATGATGAGTTGGATGATGGTGATGAAAAGTAGCTCCTAATAGGAACTTGCATTTCTCATTTTTTCTTTCTCCTTCTCTCTTTTGTGTTGAGGAAATTCTTTTTTTCTCACCACCCAAAGTAAATTCAGTCAGCACAGGAATTTACTCTTTCTTGAAATCTCTTTTTTCAATAAAAATTATTACCTAACTACTTTTCCATTAAAAATACCGATAGTCATGCATTTGGAGTTATTTATTTCCATGAAAACACCTGTAATATTAAGAAAAATAGCAACCTGAGAAATCTTGTAATGGCCAAAGTAGCTTTCCATCAAATAAAATGATTTTTGTTATCTTTCATTTTCTCTTAACATTTTTCGATATATGAACTTGGATCAAACTGGAATATCATCTTCAATGTGGCTTAACTAATCAAAATATAAAGTTGTAGGTTTTTAATTTTGAAATAAGAAATCATTATTTTAAAACATTTTATACTGTGTATATAGTTTTTTATGCCGAAACATCCCGAAAGGATACTGTTACTAAAATCTTTTAAAATTTATAATATTCTATAAAAATATATTCAATAATAATTTTTTTTTTATTAATATAATTAATCTTTATTTTTTTTAATCAAAATCGATCTTTTTTTTTTTTAACCACTTTTGTTTAATCAAAATTTTTAAAAAAAAAAAAAAAAATCTAATTTTAATTTTAATTTTTTCCCATTTTTTTTTTGTATTTTTTAATAAATGATTGTGGAATAACCGGTATTTCAAAGATATTTTTACTTATTTTATTGAAAATATGATGGAATACAAAAAAAATTTATTTTTTTATTTTATTTATATTTTTTCATTTTTGTTTTATTTTTTTTATTCGCATCAATAAAAAAATAAAATTTTTTTTAAAAGTTTTTTTTTTTAAAAAAATGAAACTCTTTTTATTTATAGTATTAACTTTTATTTCATCAATTAGCTGCCAAAATATTTATTCCATAGATCCAAAAGCAAAGTGTGAAAAGTATCAAGGTGATACAGATATAATAAAATGTGCTGATTATTTAACAAATAATGGTAAGTAAATTATAAAAAAAAAAAAAAAAAAAAAAAATATACATTAAACATTTATAATTATTTATTTTCTTTTAGGTTCTGTTTACATACCTGGATCAACAACACAGGATCAGATAATGGTAGAGTTAAAAATGTATTTTAAGTTACTAGGAAGTTATGGAGGAGATGCTTGTCAAACTGTGCACACATCTCAATCTCTTTGCTCAATGGTAAGCTTTTTATATTTTATATTAATATATAATCAAGTTACTGTACTAAATTATAAAAAAATTAGATGTTACCAGAGTGTCAAGAATTTCAAAATATAGATACCAAAGAAATCGTTGCAATTCCAAAGCGTGTTTGTAGAGGTACTTGTACCGACGTTACAGGTATTTGTGGTGTAAGTTCATTGTATAATTGTTCACAATTAGAAGAAGATCCAATGCAACCTAAATATCCAATTACAAACACCATATATAATTTAACAGATTTTGGACAATCTTTTGATTATACTATCCAATGTTTTGACCCACCACAAAATAATCAATCTACTGTCGTAAAATCTTGCCCAAATCCACTTGTATATAGATACACTAAAACTCAAGATGCAGACGCGGAGCTTGGTTATGTGTATGTTTCCAATCAAAGTTATTGCACAATTAGATGCCCAGGTAATTTTAGTTTTAGTTTTTAATATATTAAATTTAAATTTAATTTCTAATTTAATTTAATTTTATCTTTATAGCACCAATTATGTCTGATTCAGACTGGAACTCTTTGTTAAGAGAGAGTGACGCTTTAGCTTTCATAAGTTTAGTCTGTTCAATTTACTTGGTAATAACATATTTAATAGTTAATAATAAAAAAAATAAATATGATTACTTTTTTGGTTTTTTTACAGGCAGTATTCTTTTGATGTCAGTCGCTGGAACAATGGGTTTGTTCTCCGGAGGGGGAGCGAAGGCTATTATATGTCCCGAAGAAAATAGAAGAGCAATGGGTACCGATAAAGCATGTTCAGCTTCAGGCTTTTTATTTCAATTTTCAATTGCCAATGCAGTTTTATGGTGGTGTATCCAATCTTTCGAACTATGGTATCAAATTCATTTTGTTAATAAAAAATTAGAAATACTAAAGATTTATATTCCAGTTGTATTGGTTCTTTCTTTGGCCTTTTCTGTACCTATTTTGGGTTTGGGTCGCTATAGGGCTGGTTTAGGTAACTTTTTGTGTTGGATTGATAGTGGTACTTATCAAAATGTATTTTTTTGGGGTCCATTTGCTTTTATGTTAACTTTGGGCACTGTGTTTATTATATTGGTAGTTTATGAAATCTACAAGGTAATTATATTTTTTTAATAATAATAATAAAAATAGTAATTAACATTTAAATTTTAATATAGATTATGAAATCAAATAGTAAAAAAGATATTTGGAAGTTACAAATTAAACCATTATTAAATATGATTTTAGTTTATTTAACATTTATATATTTATTTGGTTATAATTTTTGGATTCACCAAAATGCAGATTGGTTCTATGGTTCCATTGTAGATTTTTATACATGCTTATTAAATACAGATGGTTCCAACTGTTTTATCCAGGGTCCACCACCATCATCATTAAAGATGTTTGCATTTTGCTTACGTATTTATGGTGTTTATGCAATTATCTTATATGGGTACAATGCCCGTGTATGCAAGATATGGAGAGAGTCATTCATAGGGGTTTATGTATTAAATAGTTCACTAGCCAATAAATTAAAAAATTTCAGCTCTCATTCGAGAGGAACCACCTCAAGCACAATTAAAATGGATAGTAATATGACCAGTCAGATGGACAGTGGTGGGGGTGTTTCAAGTTCAATGGAAAATGATGATGTAACAATATATTAGTTTTAATAAAATAATAAAAAAAAAACTATTTTAATAGTTTTTTAAATTTTTATATAAAGTTTCAAAATGTAAATATTAAAAAAATAAAATTTTTTTTATTATAAATAATAAAAATAAAATTTTATAAACACACTTTTTCACGCTTTGCATATTTTTTTTTCAATTTTTCTAAATCTAAAGTTTTTTTTTTTTATAAAACACACCATTTGGTGAATTTTATTTGAAAGCCTCAATATATTTTAGTTTTTATTTTATTTTATTTTTTTTATTAAAAATTAAAAGATAAAACCAAAATATTGGTTAAAAGATAATATAAAAAAAAAAAAAAATATTATAAAAAAAAATAAAAAAAATATTAAATAAAATAAATAAATATTAAAATATAATAAAATTAAAAAAACTAAAAAAAAAAACTATAAGATTAAATTTAATTTTTAAATTAAAAAAAAAAAAACTAAATTAAAATAATTTTAAATGAAAAATAAATTGATTTCTAATTTTTTATTTATTAAAATAAAAGATAGAAGATTTCTAACGATTTAGTTGGTTTTAAAATTTTTTTTTTTATTTTTTTTATCGATTTTGTTAATATTGTGTCAAGGCCCTCATTAATCGTGGTACCAAACTCCTTCTTTTCACAAATAAATAGTTTAAAATTTTTTTTTTTATTTTATTTTTTTTTAATTTAAATATCCAAAAAAGAATTTTAGATTTAATGATCATTTAAATAAAAAAAAATTAAAAAAAATTACAATTCAGTTAAAAAACCATTTGTTCTCTCAAATTAAAAGCGATAATTAAATGAAAATCATTTTTATTATAATAATTAGGATAAATATTTTAATTTAATTTTAATTTTTATATTTTATTTAAGATCTTTTTCATTTACTATAAAAATAAAGAAATCTCAAAGTTTTTTTTTTTCATTTTCAATAAACAATTAATAAAGTAATAATAAAAAATTATTAATAGTATAAATAATATTAATAACACAATAACAATAAAAACAAAATATTTTAAACAAATAATAGTTTATAAAAAATATAATTTAAATATTTAATCATACACTTTTAATGTTTCTTTAATTAATTGTTTTTTTAAAATTATAAAAATACAACTTTTATTTATATACAACTTTTAAAATGAATTTAAAGTTTAAAACAATTTCTCTAATACTATTCTTAGCTGGCGCTTTAACTGCTAAGGGAGCAGATTTATCAGATTGTTTTTCATCCCGTTCAACATGGTATGAGGCAATTCAACATGGTAACTGTGGTTACGGGCAACTTATGGGTCAAACTGGCCCAGGTACTTTAATGATTGCCGCCGCTGCTACTGCTTTATATAATGGCTCATACTCTTGTGGTGAGTGTTATCAAATCTACGGTCCAGGAGGTACAGGTACTGTAATGGTATGTAATCTTTTTTATATTTTTTTATAAATTTTTTTTTCATTTTATTAATTTATTTATTTATTTTTATTTTAGATTGTAGATCAATGTCCAGATCCAGGATGGTGTGATACCCCATTCCCACATTTAGATTTAAGTCCAACAGCCTTTAATGCAACTATTGGCTCAAGTGTTGGTGTAGCAATGACAACTGTTAAAAAAGTATCATGTGATGTTACAGGTCCAATTAAAGCATATATGAAAGATGCTGCAACCACTGCAAGTTGGTTCGAATTTATGGTTTTCAATCATAAAGTTGGTATTGCTTCGATCTCTGTCGAAGATCAAACAGGTAAAATAACAGAAGTCCCAAGAAGATTATACAACTATTGGACTTATAATGGTGCCACTGCCACTTTCCCAGTAATTGCCCATGTTTATTCAATCTATGGTGATCAAGTCGATATCTATATTAATGCTCCAACTGGTGCTACTCTCTACGAAGGTGAAGGTCAATTCGGTGATCCAAAGACTTCATTCAACACTGACAATTGTACTGCCCCATTCCCAGTTGATGCTGATGGTTGGATCTTTAACAATGGACTTGTCAAACCACTCAACTATGATCATCCAAATCTCGGTTGGGCCGATTGGTCAAACGGTGTTACTGTAAACTGGGAAGATTCATCAACCCCAGGTGCCGAAGCCGATTCTACAGCATGTGCAAGTGGTACTCTTAGTGGTAATAATGCAATTCAAATCGGTACTGATTTACCAGTACTATGGTCTGGCAAATTCAAAAGTCTCGAATTCTACATTAAAACTGACTCACCAGTATCAGGAAATCTTATCGTTGAATATGGTGGTGGATCAGGATTACAACAAAAACCATCAACCACTGCTGCATGGACTAAATTCGATTACGATTTAACTGCAGATTTAGGTGCTCCAGAATCACTCGGTAAACCAACTGTTCTTAAATTTAGAAATGCTGGTACCTCACCAATTAAAGTTTATTTAGATAAAATTCGTTTAGTTCCAGTTTAAACGAATCGTAATAATAATAATAATAATATAATAATAGTATCTATTATTTGTTTTAGATATTATAATAAAAAAATTTTAAAAAATAAAAGTTTTAAAAAAAAATATGTAAAATATAAATTTATAATTCTTGTGTTTGTTTTATTTATTAAATTTTTTATCTTCTTCTTTGTGAAGATGTTGTGGTTGTGGTTGTAGTAGTGGTTGTTGTTCTTCTTCCTCTTTGTTGTGGTTGCTCTACTTCTTCTACTTCCTCTTCCTCCTCTTCTTCCTGTGATTGCCTTCTACCCCTTCCTCTTTGTTGATTTTGTTGATTTTGTTGATTTTGTTGATTTTGTTGTGGTGGCGTTATACCCATCTTTTCTTCTTCAATTTGAATTTGTTTTAATAAAATTGTATCTGGTTCACAACCATATAAGTTTGAAATTAAATTTAAAATATTTCTTTTTGATGTTTCTGCAAATGCTCTTTGACCATAGCCATAAATCCAATTTTGTTCACCATCGACTTCACTTGTTTTGGTTTTTGTTAAATACATTTCTTTTGAAAATTTTTCTAATAGTTTTTCCCATTCACCAAACACTTCATGTTTTTCATTTCTTTTTAAACCTATTTGGCCAAGATATTGAAAAAGTGTTATTTGATCAATATGGCCACCCTCAATCAATATAATACCTAAAATAATTGTAATGAACGATAAGTTTTGACTTAAAATTCTAGACTCTTTATTTTCGCCAATGGCAATCTCTTCAGCTCTTGCCTTTTCCATAATTTTATCTAATGCTGCTGCCGTCTTTGATATCTCCTTGGTATTTATTAAAATATAGCTTTGAGTTGCCTCTTTGGATTTCTTTGGTAACTCTTTAAGCTCATAACCAAATACATTTTGAAGTTTATTAATACCACGCTGAAATATATTTTGAGTTAATCTCTTATCCTTGCTTATTTTCGATAATACATTTTTTGTGATTTCTGATTTTAAAATTGGCAATTTTTTTCTATCAATATACAATATAAATCTTACAAAATCGTTTACCATATTTTCGATCTGTTCATTGCTAAGCGATGATATTTCCTCTCTTGATGCTGCTTGTGAAGATGTTTGTGATGGTTGTGATGCATTTGGCGCTATTGGTTTTATTGGTTGTGATGAACCGCCTCTTTTTCTTTTTTTACTAGTAGTCTCTTCTTCACTCTCTTCCTCTTCATAATCTTCCTCCTCGACCTCAACCTCCTCCTCTTCTTCTTCTTCCTCCTCCACAAACCTATTTAATCTCCTCCTTCCTTGTTGGCTTGCTTGTCTTCTTGACATATTTATATATTATAATCGGTGATGTTGCTATTGCTATTGCTGTTGCTGTTATAAGTTTATTATATATTATATATTTTAATAATAATAAAAAAAATAAAAAATAAAAAACAAACAATTATTTAAATTAATATCAATACAAAAACAATTGGTTTTTATAAATTTTATTTTGTTATTTTATTACAATATTAATCGTGTTTTTGTAAAAATTAATTATCTATTTTAAAATAAAAAATGAAATAATTTTTTATTTTTTTTTTATTTTTTTTTTTTTATTTTTTTTTAATTTTTTTTAATTTTTTTTAAATTTTATTTTTTTTTAATTATCAAAAAAATTTTTATTATTACATATTATTTCATTTTATCTATTTAGTATTAAACATGGCCAGTAAATTCTTTTCAACTCTCGAATCAGTCATCAAAACCGATGGTGCTGCTCTTGTAAAAAAAATCAATGGTGTCTACCAATTCGATATTGATGGCACTTCATACTCTGTTGATTTGTATGTAATAAAATAATATTATTTTTCATATTGCAGATAAAAAGAGCAAAAAAAATCAAATTAAACAAAAAAAAAAAAAAAAAAAAAAAAAAAACTAAAATTAAAGTACAATAAAATCAAATATTAATATATTATCTCTTTTTTAATAACAGAAAAAATGGTAATGGTTCATTCAAAGTCGGTAAACACGAAAAACCAGAATGCACTATCACTATTAAAGAAGAAGATTTTATTCAAATTTTAGAAGGTAAATTAACCGAACAAACTGTAAGTTTTTTTATACAAGAAGAATCAAATGAAAACCTCAAACTAATTATATATATCTTGTTTTTATAGGCCTTCATGAAAAAGAAATTAGCACTTAAAGGTAACATGGCATTAGCTATGAAATTCAAACACATTGTTGAAGCTGTTAAAAAAGCCTCAAAAGGTGCTGCCCCAGCTGCCTCATCAGGTGCTTCATCAGGTGCTTCATTAGATGATGGTACTCCATTAGGCAAAGTTTTCGATACCTTACAAAAAACTGTCATTGCTAAACCAGAATTAGTTGGTCAAATTAAAGGTGTTTACCAATTCGATATCACCACCCCATCAGGTGTCAAAAAATTCACTGTTGATTTAAAGAATGGTAAAGGTTCAGTTACTACTGGTGCTGCACCAAAAGCTGACTGTACCATTACAATGGCCGAAGCTGATTTCCTCGACTTAATGTCTGGTAAATTAAATGGTCAAGTTGCTTTCACCAAAGGCAAATTAAAGATTAAAGGTAACATGGGTTTAGCCATGAAATTAGGTAAAATCACTCAAGCCAAACCACAAGCTAAATTATAAACAACTAATAATAATAATTACAACAACAACAACAACAACAACAACAACAACAACAACAACAACAACTATAACAAAAACAAAACTTCAAATAATGCAAACAACCGTAAAATAGTCTTTTTTTTTAATCACCAAATAAATTACATAATTTTTTTTTAAAAAAGAAATAATTTAAATTATTTTATGAACGTCTATAAATTTTCTAAAAAACTCTTAATAAATTATACCAAATTTATTTTCAATTTAACAGTTTTATTTAATTTTTTTATTTTAAAAAACTATGAGTTGTTAGGCATTAGAATTATCTATTAAAAAAAAATAATTAATATTATATAAAAATAAAAAACTATTAATTACTAATAATTACGTCTAATGTATTGTTCCTATCCTCGTTTTCTTTTTGGTTTTTAAGAGAATAATAACTCTCCCATTGTTTTCTTGCATAATTATTAATTTTTGAATATGCTTCTTCTAAAACTTTTTTTTTATATTTATCAATTTTGTTTGATGTTGCAATTGCATAGTCTGTAGTTTCCATTTTTTAATAATATTAAAATATATAATGAATATTTTATTCCTAATGAATATCACTTTTCTTTATTAACATGGAAATTGAAAAAAAAAATCTAAAATTAAAAAAAAAAAATTAATTTAAATATTTCTAAAAATAGAAATTTTAGTTTAATAAAAAAATTTTAAATTAAATATTAGAAAAAAAAACAAAAAAAAAAAAAAAAAAGAAAAAGAAAAAAATTTAAAAAAAAAGATATTAAGAAAAAAATATATTTATTATTTTAATATATATAATCTTTACTTTTGTTCATTTTCATCATTGATGTATCCTGGAATTACTTTATCTACTTTGGTTTTAAAGTATTGACTATAAGTACCTTTTAATTGAATATCTGAACTATTTGGTTTTGTGGCTTTTGGTATACCTTCAGTTAGTTTTGGTACTGAATTCCAGTTTGGATTTAAAAAGAATTGATATGCCATTTGGTTCTTGCCAGAAGAGTTTAATTTTGCCTTGAAAGTATTTGTTAAATAGTATCAACAAATTATGTGTTCCAACATATCACCAACTATATTTTAAGACTGATACTATGTTTTATAAGTTAATTTAAAAAATATAAATTATCCTATATGAAAAATTTTTTATGAGAGTGATGCTATCTGTTTTATAAAAAAAATGGAAAAACCCCAAAAAATGTTAAAAAATCACTAAAAGTGATTAAAAACAATTTTAATAAAAAAAAAAACTTTTTACTTTGGTTTAAAAAATAATAATAAAAATAATAAATTCTATTATTTTTATTTTTATTTATTTATGAACGTTACTCTTATTTTCTTCATTATAAACATATTCTGGGAATACCCTTCCTACCTTTGTCATAAAGTATTGGCCATAAGTACCTTTGAATTGATGAATATTGTGGTTATCCCAACGAGCTGGTTGTGGAACTTTTGGTATACCTTCAATTAATTGTGGTACTGAATCCCAGTTTGGATCTAAAAAGAATGGATATGTGATTTGATTACTACCACTGGTGTTTAATTTGACTCTGTGAACATTTGATAAATAGTATCCACCAGTTATACGATCTAACATATCACCAATATTACAGATAAATGCACCTGGAACTGGTGGTGCATCAATGAATCCATCACCAGATTTAACCTGTAATCCCTCAACAGTTCTGTGAAGGATTGTTAAACATCCCCAATCTGTGTGCTCATTGGTGCCAAAACGCCCCTCTGATGAATCATCTGGGTTTTTAGGGTATGAAGGATAATTGAGTATTCCCATTAATGTTGATGGATTTGAATATTTATCATCAAAATAAGTTGATGGTAAATTTAAACTTAATGCAATTGCTTGCATGATTTCTTTGCCTATAACAGTTAATTGTTTAATATAGGTTTCAATAGTATTTTTGAAACCAACAATACCATATAGTTCCTCTTCCTCTGGTGTTGGGTATAGATGGATACCTCTTGATGGATCACTATCCCCACTTTGCTCAACATCCAAATAGGCACCCTCTTTATGATCGATTGCGCCATAGGTTATTTCTTGTCCTACTTTAAAGAAGCCAAGCCAATCTCTTTTAACTTGATTCATCTTCCATTTCATTTTAACATCTAGAGGCAATGAAAAGAATCTACTTGCTACACTTTCTAAATTTTCAATAAGGGATTCCTCGATACCGTGACCCCTTATATAAAAGAATCCAAACTCTTTACAAGCATCATGAATTTCTTTTGCAATTATCTTTTTGCCAGCCTCAGTTTGTAAATTTGAAATATCGATAATAGGTAACCAATTTTCAACTTCTGTTTCTTTTTTTTGGTATGTTTCTGAATTATTTTCTAATGAACTATTTTCTAGTGATATCATATTATTAAACTATTTGTAACACCCCTCAATATTATTATTAAAGTTATTATAATTACTTGCTTAAATAAAATTGAAATAATAAAAAAAAAATAAAAAAAAAAAACAATTTAAAGAAATTAAAAAATAAACAGTACAAAAAATAAAAAATTTATTTTTATATTTTTTTAATTACCACACACACATACTTTAACCCCATTTGCCAATAACAATTAACATATATGATACTTGGTTAAATTATTATTATAATAAAAACAAAATGAACATTATATAGATAAAACAAAAACTGTAAAAAAATAATTACTATATATTACTAAAATTAAATATATATATTTTTTATTTTTTTTTTATTTTTTATATCTTTTTTTTTATATCTTTTTTTTTTGGGGGCGGATATATATCTAAATACTTGGATAGAAAATAATATTTATAAATAAATTAATAACAATAATGAAAATAATTATAATGATATATTAGTTACAATATATAATTACCTATTTTTTAACCTTTATTTTTATAATTTTTATTTTTATTTGTTAAATTTAGATAATCGATAAGTTTTAGTCATCATCTATAGTTAACTGATAATTATGATAATCAATCCACAACTTTTGACAAAATTGGTGAATCTCTTCTTTATTTGATGTGCACTTTTCAAACTCTTTAATTGTCTTTCGGACTTGGTCTGCTGTCATATTACCTCCAGAAATATTTTGGAAATTATATACAACCTCCATTTTTTTTTATTAAATAAATAAATAAATAAATAAATAAATAAATTATAAATAAATAAAATTAATTAAAATAAAATTTTATAAGACTATTATTATAAAGAAAAAAAAAGATATCTGAAATAATACTATTTCTATTGTTATTATTATTAAAAAGTATAATAATATAAAATTTAAAAAATAAAATAAAAAATTAAAAGAAATATAAATTTTAAACTAAAAGACTATTAGTATTTAATTTAAATTTAAAAAAAAAAAAAAAAAAGAAAAAATAAAATTTTAATTTTAATTTTAATTTTAATAAAACTATTTAATTTTATTTATATTTCTTAAAAAAGGAAAAAAAAAATCCTTAGTTTATTAGAAAACCATAATCTTAATATGACAACAAAGCCCTCATAGTATTTGGGTTATTTTTTAATATTTAATTATTTATTTATTTATTTATTTGTA